AGAATAAACCCAGACATCCCTAATAAACCCAGACATCCCTAATTAAACCCAGACATCCCTAATTAAACCCAGACATCCCTAAGATAAACCCAGACATCCCTAAGATAAAACCCAGACATCCCTAAGAAGAAAAAACCCAGACATCCCTACTTGCTTATGATATGACAATGCGTATCGTAGTGCGATTTATATAGCTCTCAATCCCAGTGAGTAGCCGCCTGAAAACAGTTGAGCACCAATAGGGGCAAAATAAGCGAGGTGCGTTGCACAACTATACCCGTTCGGATTTGGCGAACCAGCAAGGTGCATAGCACAAATATCCGTTCCCTGAAAATTGATCGTTCAACTTGGCCATCAAGGTGTTTGCTTTTTGAAACTGCTTCGAAACCTTCTGGCTTCCCCTGGGTTGTTTCTGCTAGTTCACTAGTGCTATACTTTATCAACTGAAGCTGTTCGCGCAAGTCCTTCTAGGTCGTAAAAAAATGTTTTAAGTTTAAGGTTTGACCGGGCTGCGTCACACAAACGCATTGACTGAAGTACTACAAACTATAGTCTTTTTGAACTCGTCGTCCTAAATCATCTACATTGGTACTAACTCACAATTTTATTGAGTGTAATAACTATTCAATCTTAGTGTTTGTTTTGCTGGATTCAAGACGCTTACGCTCAGCTTTCTCTACGTTGTATTTGTGAAAAGATGTTATCAATCCGTCGCCACTAGCACCGCAGTATATATAGTCGATACACACATAAAGAAGCGGAGTAAAACACCTCTCCTCCCAAACTGTTTCCACAAGCTTCGTGAATTTAGTATTAATTGTCATTGCCGTCGACGAAGGTCACACGCCTTATTTATATCTGGGTTTTTCTTTCAAGAGCCGCAACCACATAGGGTTAGGCGTTCTTCAAGCATAAGGTAAGGCGCTTATAGTTGCTGCCTCAGTGAAGAAAAAGAACTGACTGACGCTAATCCTCTTGCTAGAATGAGAGAAGTCATGCTTTACTAAGCGATGGTACTTGCTGAATCGCCACCAGATCAATTGCTCAAGTTGATTACATAAACTAAACAGGCATCCCTGGCTACACATCTGACTCAAGATCGAAGGGATTCTCTTTAATCTCTTCCTAAACCATAACACCATATCTAGGACACGGGCGAAAGGGTTTTATTATAAATGTCCCAGAATCAGGACTCACTATTTTTATTTTTTCCTGAAAATAACTATTTGCGCTCCACACCTAGTTTGGCGCTGCGTATACAAAATGACTTTCGCACGTTCGCATTTCTAAAATTGAGAAAACTTCAAAATGTGAAATTGAAAAATACATGATTAATGTGACTTGTGCCCTTTATTTAAAGAAGAAGAGCGCTGGTGTGGCAAAGACACTTTCGTACATCCTTCTGCTGATAGTGCACTAAAGTGGACCAGTCTCGTGAATTGATTGGTATACAGATTGTATCATCCATTGTCTGCCTCTAGCTCGGCAAGCAGTTCTGGAGGTATAGGGCCTCTGTTGCGTCTCCAGTTTCTTATCCCTTCTCTGGCATCGTCAATATCCTTATAAGTTTTCACGTAGTCTTCAAAATGAGAGGGTTCAGGGAAGCTGGCTGTGCTGTCCAGTAAATCCGTGATTGTAGAAATAAGATTGGCTTCATTATCATACGCATCCATAATTATTTGATACTTACCATGTTTCTCCACGGTATATAGATGCTCCCAGCAGGTCTTGCCTACTTCAGCGGCCCAGTTCTTGTAGCTTGTGCTGCCTTCCAAGTAGCTGCCGATATTAGCCATATCTAGTGCACAGTTTTGGTAGCTCTAAATTTGCTGCAAATGTTTTGACAAATGTGGAGGTACTTGTGGACGCATTTATACTGTTATCTCCATAATTCGCGCATTTTTGACAGGTGTGATAAGGGGACGCCGTGTGGCTCCCTTGTTTTTTCAAACCATACCACAAAACTCGATGGAATTATATTACCGCTTCTTGTGTCTGTATCACTGGATGCAACGACTTAACTGCCTTTCTACCAAGAGCTGTTTTACTGCGCACTCAAATGAACATATCGACTGAAAGCTGTCAAATTCCTGTACTACCAACATATCTACGGATGCGGCTCCAGGCGATATCTTGCCTTTCTTGGACAAACACAAAAGTTTTCTGTAATTGACAGGTGAAACCACTATATTATCCTAGATAATAGCTAACAGCCTCGTTACCTTTTTTTCGAACTACTGAATTAGTTGACAGTTCGTTCATCTATACTTAGCGACATGCAAGAAATTTTTTGAATGATTGCTCACCTGTTCGCGAACCGCTTGGTAGATCAGTTTGATAATTGCGCCTCCAGAAATGGACTACGATCAAAAAACTATATCCATCCTCTAGTTTAAATACCTGGCTTTAATACAGGCATGACCGTATTCCCGGAATTACTTATCAATTGACGCCCAAATCCACTTAAAAGAAAAGCACTAACATCACGAGCCTCTGATATGCTATCATTTTGTCTGGCCCCATTGACTGCGTTGGGTCCTAATGATTCCAAGACTTCACTCGATGTGGTGGTTGTTTCGGTAGATGTTTCTGTATCAAAAATCTCCAGCATATAATTAGTGGCATTCTCCCTCGAAGCATATATGTCAACATTTTGGTCGGTCCCGAAGTTCGTCAAACTCTTCCATTCCTCACCGACAATGCTCAGCCATGTACTTGCAAATGTATTGTTCTGATAATAAGCATCACATACAGCATATGTGCCTGTGGAATTATCAACTAGATAACCGTAAAACCATACTTTCTTGTTAATCGGGTCTGCCCAATTAGTATATGACTCAATAGTGTTGAGTGAATCATGAAATGAAAGAGACATTGTTGGGTCTGAAGATGGAGAGGACTGCGGAGGGGTATATATAATGTGCACGGGCAATACGCAGTACGTGAGGCTTCCGCTTAAGTAGCCCTTCACTTATGCGGCGCCAACTTTGCAGGAGGACATTAGGGGATCAGTACTAAGAGAGCTGCAAATGAAATTTGCATTCTTTACTTTCCAACAATATCCTAACTGGCTCCTCCCACACCCTTATATTTCACTGCGCACAAAAAAGAACATATCTGCCGAAAGCTGTCAACGTCAAGTTCCTGTACTGAGGTATATCTATAGATGCGGCTCCAGGCGATACCTTGCCTATGTTTGGCAAACACCGGATAAGTTCTGTGTGTTTGATTCCCACAAAATTAGATAAAGACATATGTGCTTAAAGTCTCTCTATCTTTTCTGAACCTTTTAAGTAGTTGACAGCTCGTTTACGTATATTTAGCGACATGCATAACCTCCTTCTGAGCCACCTTTTCAGAAGAGATAACGACAGAGCCACATCTGCCTGTTCAATCTCCAGAACCATTACGTATTACCAAATCATTACGCTCAAACTAAAACAATCATAAATTAGGTATAGTCGCCAAGAGGCATGAAAGAAGAAAGAATTATGAAGAAATAAAATAAAACCAGTTAGTAGTAGCGAAGGAAATTGACTCAAGGTCTTTTTTTGACACACCTGAAGCTTATAACACAGCAAGAAGTGCAATAGGAAGCACCCATTCAGCGCCAAATCTTGGAAGAGTGGCTCCACCTTCGTAGGTCGAAATGTAGGCGGTAGTTTGAATGGTTTCTGTTGCTTCAGTGTTAGGTCTCTCAGGCGTGGGTGCTGGCTTTTCTCCACCAGGCTGTTTAGTTTCCGTAGGACCATTTGGCGCTGGCTTGTCTCCACCAGGCTGCTTTGTCTCAGTTGGACCGTTAGGAGCGGGCTTTTCGTTGTTCTCATGGTCTTCGTTCTCAGGAGGACAAATAGAGGTTGTGACGGTGACGATTCCTTCCACGGTTGTTTCACAAACGACAGCGGTGACGGTGGTCTTGTCTGTAACGTAGGTGGTTGTGCGTGGTGGCACAATTGGCTCTTCATCACAATCGGTTTCGTCGCCCTCGCCATTGTCATTGCCATTGTCATTACCATTGCCGTTGTCATTGCCGTTACCGTTGTCGTTACCGTTGCCGTTGTCGTTGTCGTCAATCGGAGAAGTTGTGGTGGTCAAGCAGCCTTCAGAGTCAGTGGTGACAATGACAACCTTCGAAGTGGTGGTGTACGTTGTAGGACCGTTGTTACCGTCATCAGTGGTCTTTCCATTGTCATCAGTTGTTTTTCCGTTGTCGTCGGTGGGTCCATTGTCATCAGTCTGGCCACCATCGTCAGTAGGCTCGCAATCGTCATCAGTAGGCTTGCCATCATCGGTAGTGTTGCCATTGTCAGAAGTGTTTCCATCATCGGTGGTGTTACCGCTATCGCTTGTGTTTCCGTCATTGGTGGTGTTTCCGTTGTCACTGGTGTTTCCATCGTCACTGGTGTTGCCAGTTTCAGAAGTGTTATCAGTGCCGGTCTCGCTTCCAGTGTCTGAAGTGTTGTCGCTATCAGTAGGACCTTCAGTGGTAGAGCTGTCACCATTGTCTGCGGTACTGTCAGTGTCAGAAGTGTTGTCAGTCTCGGAAGTGTTGTCAGTGCTCGATTGAGGCTCCGAGGTCTCCAGCTCATCTGGTGCACCGTTGGTATTAGATGTTTCAGGCTCAGAAGTGGTATTAGGCTCAGATGTGGACGAAGTGTCTGGCTCAGAGGTCTGAGATGGAAGCTCACTCGAACCGGAAGGCTCGTCTGGGAACTCTTGACACAAGCACTTGTCTGGAACATCGCCGTTTGGTGCTCCGCTGTATGAGATTCTTGTACCAGTATTGCCAGGACCGTTAGTGGAAAATTGCGAGTCGGAGTAACCTTCGCCAATGTTGAAGTCAACCTTGAAGACGTTGAAGAAGAAAGAAAGGGTCAAGACGCCATCTTTGTATGCCCAGTTGGAGAAGCCAGTGCTCAGTCTGATCTCGTTTCCGCCACCAAAACCAACAACATTGTATGTCTTGGTGCCCAAAAGACTAGGCTCTAATCCGAGAACAGATAATGAAGAAGATGGACTTGAAAGGTAGATGGTCTGCTTGTCAGACACACCCCATGGGGTGACTTCAAGCTGAAGGTGGGCATTGTCCAAAACACTGACACAACCACCACCGTTGATAGTGGTGGTTTGAACCCAGTTTGTACGCTCAAGACAAATGGTACCCTCATTCTTGATAGTTCCAAGAACTTGGGAAATGGTGATGGGTGAAGCACTTCCATGCTCCTGCTTGAGGTAGATTTTTCCGTTGTTGCTCCAGTCCAATGCAGATCCAAGAATAATAGGAGGTACCAAAGAGTAGGCACTCAAACCAATCCAAATGTTTCCGTCGTTTGAGAAAGTTCCAATAGAATCCAAGTTGTAGTTACTGATGACGCTTGCCTGCAAGGTATCAAAGACAATGTTGCCGGAGTTGAGAATGCTACCAGATGCAACACTAACAGAAGCAGCCAAGCCGTTGGTGGATCTCACATACCAGTTTCCCTTGTTATCCAAGTTTCCCCCGAGAGCTGTAAGTGCATTATTGAGGATACTGTAGGAGACACCTTCATTGATATTGAGGTTTCCAATTTGTAAATTAATTGGAGAATCGACAACTGTATCTTCCGTGATTGTCAACGCCAATACTGAAGAAAGGCAGTAGACTGCACTGAGTAAAGCCTGAAGACTTAAGATGCTCATCCTAAAGATTCAGTCAATAAAAGTTGATAAGAAAAAAAAAGGGGATTCACAGCGCATGGTCTTCATTATATACCCCTGGACCAGGGTCCCGAGGTGGTCTTGTAATTGTTCAAGACCAAAAGGGTCATTTTGGGGTGACTTGCAAATAACAAATTGCAAAATCTGGCTATCCTCTAGCCGAAGTTGGCGATTGAGAGAGCTGCAAGATGCACCTCGTGCATATCGTATAAGCGGCTGTTGCATTGTAATTTCCTCTCGCTACAGATTCTAGCCCGCTAAACCTATGTGGACTTGCAGCTGCTAATGAACCCCGCTAGTTGACGATATACGAAACTGGAGGTGCACCCATTTGAATCGGTTTAGGCTAAATCAACAAGACGCGAATCGGTTGAAGGGCTCTAAGACCTTGAGTCACACGGTTGGGAATTTCCACCGTTGCCCAGACAAAGTCAAGTTTTTGACGTGCATTGAGAAGCCTTCTCTGACGGCATCTTTGAAGACACTCTCAGTATGTGAATTGAAGAGGGTATCATAGGTAGTGGATGTCGGGCCGTAAGTATTGCTTTTGCAAAATTCGTGTCTCAAATTACGAGAGTATCATGCAGCTGAAAGAGGCTAGGCTTAGTTCCGCAAGACGTTTCGAGATCAACTCGTTACCGCATTGTTCGTAAGTGGCTTTGCAACAGCTGGATATCAAGCTACGATCGAGTTTTCAGCGTAATAGCTCCAGATTTTACCACAGAGGTTGTGTCATTCCCATAAAAGTTGTTTCATCGTCGCTCCTAAAATCATTTTCTTCGATCAATTCCTGAAGGCTCCCCCTTTTTTCACGAGAAATCGCATACATCAGAACGCGACCCAAACCTAACCCCTTTAGGCTACAACCAACCACAGAGGATCTAATTGAATGGAAGCCGAACATCCCGTTTCCATGTGTTACCTGATCCGTTGACTTTACCAACTAGAGAGGATGACGGAGACTCGCCCGCGTCTCCCGACCCATTGTGTACGTAGGCTTACTTCCAAAGATTCCCCGTTTGAGAAGACAATAGGTCTGGTTATATCGTCTCGTAGTACCTGACGCCCCGTTGTGACCTCTTGAAGTATCCATATCAACTCAGATTTTTTAGTTGAGCATATATTTTTTTCTGGCGAAAAACAACAGCAGCCTTCTCCTAGGCGTTTTTTATTACTGTCCAGATCTGTCTAATTCTTGTCGATCATAATACCCGTCAAATCACGATGACAGTATTTCCATGCATCCGTATGCGAATTGCATGTGGGGTAACAATACTCGCGTCTCGAGCATGCAGCTGTCTCTTTGAAGCAGGACCCTTGATATCCGAAAGAAGATATTCTCGGGGCACGAATTTACTCCACTTAGTCATACGCGAGATGGTGCTGAAGTTCTAAAAATACGAGAGTTTCCCTGCTTTCACAAACCGTGTTTCGCCAGATATAGAAACAAATAAGCAAGGAGCAGAATTAGACGATGCTTACACCCGTTGCCGAGATTTCAGTAGCCAACCGTCCAGCTGGTGCACGGGACGAAGTCTCCGTTCTCAAGAAAAGCGAAACTTACATGTGATGACCTTTAAATATAGGTTATCTATACGTTCAGGGACACTCATTGTTCCTCTTTTGATTCGAAGAAGGGGTAAATACCTGTCCTGATTTTCCTTCTTCAGCGCTTGGTAGATCAAAACCTCCACTAATAGAGAAAGAAGTCTTAAAAGACATCTTATCGGAATTGTGGAAAATGACCAAGCTGTCCTCTCCTATACCCCTGGGGCATCATTCCCGAAGGAGCACTAACAAACAGAGCAGCACTTATCGTACCACAGCAGCCAAATTAAGCCGCTGATAATTGGCCTTCCACATACTGCAATCTTGATCTCTTTGCTCCCTTTGGTTTCGTATTATACTTCAAGACCACTTCGGGCTTTACTTTCTCTTCGACAAGTGAATCAAAAAGCTCTTTATAAGGTGCATCCGAGTGATAGTGAAGCTTAAAGAACCTGTCGACGAAATACTCATACATCCATGGAAGCATGCGGGTTTTTCGATTGTGTCTGGGGCAGTCATCAAAAACATGTTCTGTGGTATGACAGTATTGGCAGAATTGGTAACAGAACTTAATTTGACAGCTCATATCGAATGGATCATAAATTTTCTGAAAAGGCTTCGCCTTCTCCATCCCACTGACTATAGTTTTCAACACATCATTTTGCGGGGACTTTATAAGGTCATGCTCAAGATTACGCCTGACTCGATCGACTATGGTTCGCCTCGGTGGAATCAAGGTCAGTCCAAGAAGAACCCTGACGTCTGCCAGTTCATACTCACCGTACACTTTAGGGCCATCTCGCCAGCCATCTATTTCATCGGACGGATGTAAGAACCCATATTTGAATAGCTCTCTCGCTCTAGGTGTTGGCTTGTATAGAATTTTCACCCACATATAGTTCTCACGAGTAATATCGGACTTTATGAACTGAAAGCGGTATTGTCCGTCAGTGAATGTCCATGGGATAACGACGTCGTGAATACTCTCTATAACATCCTCAACCTCACAAGTTACAATTCTTCCTTGCGAAATAGCTGATACCAAGAAGTCTAATTGTTTGGTGTTTTTTACCCCCGGGAAGTGGACAATTGAGTCTATTGCTTCAGCATTACCGACAAAAATGGATGCAAGTGCGACAAGAACACAGGATTCCCGTTTTTTCATGATCCATGAATACTCCGCGGCCTCTTCTGGGTTCAAAGCCCTAGATGGATCACCAACATTCGGGTTGCGCCGTGCATAGGCAAACTTCACCTTGTACACCTCGTACTTTTCCCGGGCTAGATTCAAATCCGCCATAGCAGTTTTAAAAGTTCTCCAGCCATGCCTTCTCAACTGGTGTGTTCGTATACGGCAACAAAGTTCCTCGTTCGAAGCAATGTGCATCTTGTACGTTGAATCGTTATCTGGTAGTAAATTCAACTCGTCCATGATGAAATCTCTGTCTTCTGGACCTTCAAGGAGCTTCTTTACTTGCCTGAGAGCATGACCAGATGTGCTGAGATTGAAACCTTTCACTGCTTCTTGGATGAGAAACTCGTGGTTCTTATGTGTACAGCAGCTTTCCGGACCCTCTGTCAATACTTGTAGATCGTTCTTGATCTTCGAATGTGCGAAACGAAATCGACGATAAGGAAATTTTCGGTAAGTAGAATAATCCCTTACATAGTTCTGAGCTGTGCGTTGTTCTGAATCGGAATTCTTGGATGGGTTTAAAGCCATTCGGCGAGGAACATCAGTGTAGTCAAATGCATCTTCTGCAATTTCCACACCTCCTAACAACTCTTTCGGAAGCACACCACCATTGAAGCGTTTTTGTCTTTGGAGTTCACGGATCTGTTGTGCAACTCTCCCGTTGGAACTCATCCTTGGAGTGGAGTCTGCCGACCTGAGAAAAACGACGCGTCTCCGTGATGCCGGATCGGATCAGGAGTCACTTTCGTAGTGACTGCAAGGCATATTTTGAGGGTAACGAAATGAAGATTAAAGCTTCCTTGGGACTGGATGTTTTCTTTTTTGGTAGCTATGAGGAATTCTCCATTGAATCGCATCTCTAGCTTTATGGTCTGACATCGATATCTGCAGCCAATGGAAGTACACAATCGGGAAATCGCCATTTGACTTTTGCAGTCATGCTCCAATGTGCCATATGGATCTTTGGGAATGCATTAAATGTATAAGGTAGGCTGAAGCCTTTATCAGCTTTCTCGGTCATGAACATGGTCATCCTGATGTAGCTGATTGGTGGAAGGGATGCCAGATATCAGAACCCCATTGATTCTTGAGCTATTTAGTGACATTCCCCTTCATTTTTTTGCTTGCTTTTCAGTAATAAATTTAAAAAGAGGGGGTTATGTGGAAAACCTCATGGGTGTTTATGTCAAGATAGCGCGAGATAACCCCACTGCGGCTCAGGCTACTCTATAGAGCACCTAATCGGAGATTTAAAAAGCCATCAAAGTAATACAGTAAAACCAAGCCATCATTGATAGCATTGAATTATCAATTCTGTCATACTTGAGAGGTCACGAGATGAAGAGGCAATTATCAAAAAGCTTAGTCTCTAGATATAAGGTTGAGGCTGAGGCTCTTCGTTATGCATCGCAGGGTATTTTCCTTGACAACCGCCCACAGAAACCTTGACGGTGGGAAAACTTGCGGGATTATTGCGCCTCAATGGATGGAAATGACCTATAAATTGGGCTTCTACCGCTGTCTTTGGATTTTCAAAATCATCACCACAAATGTCCGATTTTTACAGTATCCTCACGCCTAGTTCTCAGGAACTTTTTACTGCCTGGGAAAAGAACATAACAGCCTTGAATGTGTATCAGCTGTTCGGACCTGGAAATTCCACACACTCCGTTTTAGCCAGGGTCATTGACGATAACGAGAAGGTTGTGCTGTCCATAATTCTTGAAACCACGGTTCCTGCTATGGAATGGTTAGACGCTTATGTGACCAAGTGGGACAGTGAAGACGACAGTGAAGACGAGAGCGACGACGATTACTTTGATGACTTCGAGGTCGAGGAATCAACAACAACCGAGACTACAGTGAGTGACTCTGTTTACCACTCGGCTTGATTGAACCCTTAATGAGTTTCGAATACTATAACTAGTGATTATTGAGCCAGGCAATTAAATACTTTTTTTGGTACCAGCACAGTCCACATTAGGAGTTTATAGTAAGCGCTTCATAGGCAGCGTACTTTACGAGAAAAACTCGGGTATTCTGCAAGATGATGATCGCTTGAAGTCAACTTAATAAACACCAACAACAAAAGGCATAACATATTTCAGAGATAAAACATCTATTTCAAAGCATCAGAGGCGCAGCTTTATGCTTTATCCTGGTGGCTGAGTAGACTACGCCTTTCTTTTAGTTAAAATCGGCATTTTAACCGCTTTACACCAACGTTTTTGTGTGTCTCAAGTGCCTCTTAAGCAATTCATACCAAACTTTGGCAATTACGGGTATAACTTGATTTTCGCCTAGGAGTTTTAGCAAGAATTTATTTACCCAAAATGTGAAATTTCAACGCTCTTTAAGTTGTCTCAACCTCCCACTGGAGTTTAGACCTCTGAATCTACTAGTTGACCATCAACTCACAAACAATTGATAAGCGGTAACAGAATCAAAGCAGGCTCCTCTCCATGTACTTCATCTTAAACAAAGTTCTATTGTCTTATCTTTTCGCACACTGCAAATCATCGGAATCATCTCGGAGATGGAAACCTGTCAAAAGTGCGGCGTCCTCAATGTGCTGCACGACCATTATATATACCTTACATGTTGTTGAAAAAATCCACTGAAACAGGCTTAAATGAAGTATAACAAAAAGTAGCTTGTTGAGCTCCACGGTGTCCAGCACCTGCATCACACAAGCATCCGGGATTTGCTTCCTCCCCTTGACCCGGCACTAGTTCTCCTTTTTTCTCCTTTGCAATCTGCTTTGAGGTGATAAGGACCTCTTTCGCAATGACATCTTTGTGGGCATTTCCACTTGGGGTGTTTCTTGTTGCCACAGAGAGCGCAACTCTTGTTTGGACAATGCTGGAACAAATGGTCGGTTGAAAGGCAATATTGGCAGTACCTTCTACAGTATTTGATGGTACAGAACATGTTCCAATATACCCCCACATGCTTTCGTGGATGAGACTCTTCAAGCTCTTTGATTCTGTTGATATGATTGCGCTCTGAAGTTTCAAAAAGATCTTTTGCGAAATTATACACCGAAAGAGCTTCAGCTGCAGATTCTTCATCTTCCCAATCTGCTGCCTCAAAAAACTTCATGTAACTCCTAAAATATTTTGTGATGGGATCATCTTCATCCTCACTGCCCTGGAGGCGGAGATTCTGCAAGAGTATCTCTGCGGTCGGTGTCATGGGAGGAACTTTATTCAGCCCAAGAAGAATTCTGAGATCTGAGATGGTGTTATTTATATCCTTGCAACTGATCACCTTCCACAGAAGGATTTTGTCATTTGGTTGAAGAAAGTGCGTCTCGAATACCTCTTGAATGCGATCGACATCCATGTGCATCAATTCGACTTGAATCACATTGGCGGACTTGTGGCGCCCCTGTGTCTCGAATTCGTAAGACTTGGTAGCCATGGTGACTGGTAATTGAGTAGTTTTTACATCTACTTCATTTGCGGGGATGCTTAGAGGGGATGTATCAGGGGTGCGATTTTCAGCCTACTGCCCGGGCATTATCTCTCTAAGCACACTTTTCCACGACATTTTGATTTCATTTATGTTAATTGAAAAACTTCTGTGGTATTCTTGTTGAAATTTGAATGTACTTGATTGTAAGTGAGACTTTTCAATTTTTCTCAATTTCGGGTGCAACTTATGTATGTGCGTGACAGATATGGCGTAGTGACAAAAATGCGTTCTTTGAACACACCACCAAAAATCGAAAAATGCTTCAATAAGTTAATCGATATAAATACGAGCTACATTATTGCGTCGAGAATATCTGTAACGAATTTCAGTATCGCTGTTGGACTTTACATTGAGAAAAATCCAGCTGTAGCTACAAGGGTACTATTTTCCTGGGAAGCAGCCAACATAAGCGCTTCAAAAAAGAGAAATTAGGAGTTTCAAGAATGCCATATTGTTTATAGTTTACTTAGACGCCTCAAAAAGCTAGTATCCTGTTCTCTACCCTCGACACTACGCAAGTGTACAGCTTTGCATACCGAAGGGAAGGCCTCATACCAAGGGAAATTTCAAAATCTATGAATATTCCAAATCTTCTCTCGTACTAGGAATGACTTACTCAAGATTATTTTTTCTTTTTTCAGAAAGCAGGTGCAAGATAAGGTAAGCGTCTCGCATGACGTTTTCGCAGCCAAAGTAGAAGGTCCAAGAGTAACACACAAATGTCACGCCAAGGGCATGACTCAATTGCAGAAAATATTGTAAATGTCACGTACTCATAGATACAAGAGGAAAGTCCAGTCAATTTGGAGCTTTTTGATGACCTTGACGGTCATCCATTCCCTTCACAGGAGTGGAACAAGCCAACCATTTGAACATAAATAGAGGCTGTTCCCGCCACTTTTTGTTTTCCTCTTCATCTACTTGACCACCACAGTTCTAAACCAGAGTTTGGAACATTTAAGCTTATCAGTCTTCGACATCAACAAGCAACTACAAAAAGCAACAACAACAAGCAACGACAACAATGTGTACCGAAAAGTGTATCAGAATTTGCGGAGTCCATTTCCCTAGGGACTTCAGAGAAGCCATCTTTGAGAAGAATGGCTCGATTTGGGTTGATCACGAAACCGCAGTGATTGACCTTCCCTGGGATGCAGCGGAGTTTGATTACTTCAACTACCTCAGGGAGAAGTGTACCTGGAATCCTGTGGAACAGGCCCAGGACTTTTATAAGTACAGATTACTGCAGTTCAAGCGCTATAACTGGAAGAGGGCTCAGAAGGAAAGCCTTGTGAAGGAGCATATGAAGAGAGCCAAGCCGCCAGCTCCTGAGCCAGTCGTACCAGTTCCAGAAGTTTCTGAGAAGAAGCCAGTTCCTGAAGCCCCCGTGGCTTCCACCAATGTGGGTACTTTGAAGGCCTCGACCAAGGCCATGAGAATTACTATTTGCCCACCAAAAACCACTTCCCCCAAGAAGGTTTCAAACAGCGAAAAGGTCTCTGCACCTTCCCCCAAGAAGGTTTCAAATAACGACAAGGTCTCTGTGCCTTCCCCCACCGAGAAGCCTTCCCCTACTATTTCCCAGAGTTTCCTTGTCGAGACTCTGAAAACCGTTCCAGTTTCCACAAACGCGAAGGAAGCTGAAACCAAGGACTCCGGGTGTCCTCCACCTTCCCAAACCCGGGTTTCCAAGGCTGCGAAGCAAGAGGAAAAGGCTGCCAGAAAGGCTGCGAAGCAGGCAGAAAAGGCCGCAAAGCAGGCCGAGAAGAAGGCCCAGAAGCAGGCAGAAAAGGCTGCCAAGGAAGCTGCAATGGCTGCTGAACAAGCTGCAATGGAAGCCGAACAAAAGCTCGCAGAAGAAGCAGCTGAAATGGCCGCCATTGAAGCTGAAAAGGCCGCAAAGGAAGCTGAGAAGAGGAAGGCGGAACAGGCTGCCAAGGAAGCAGAGGAGGCCGCCAGGGAGAAGTTGAGATTGTCCCGGTCTCGCTTGCCTCCAACACCAAAGCAGTTCAGACGCCGTTTCTGGAACGTCAAGCAGCTCGAGGTTCGTGACCACTATTTGCCAAACTATAGCGACCATTTCTCTACGGTGCTTGTTCAGGTGGACGACGACGAGTTGGACCGTCTGGAGCAGGACTGCGGAGAGGATGTCTTTGAGTTTCTGGAGAACGTGGAAATCTTGAAACCCGTTCACAAGGCTCCAGTTCCCGAGCATGTTTCAGAACCTGAGCAGCCTGAAACCACCGTTTTGGAACCTGAAACCTCGGTTTCAGAAGCTGGCTCTAAGGTGCCTGAGCCTGAGACCAAGTCACAGAAGCCTAAGAACGCCAACATCTACTGGATTGGCGACTTCCCTTTCTTCATGCTGACGTTGGCCCAGAAGCACCATGCCACCTTCCTCCCTGGAGACTTCTTCAAGGCGCTGGAGCTTCTTTACCCAAAGAAAACTGAATCCTTCTTACCAGGTGACTTTGCTGGCTTCAAGGCCCTCACTTATTCCAAGAATCAGTTGGAGTTCTTCCTCTCCGACTTTTTCGCTTTGTGGAATGAACCAGTTCCACGGAGGGCTAGGCGTGCCAGAAACTCGAAGCCTGTCTGGGGTTACACCATCACCAGAACCAAGAGACGCTCTTATGGTTTTGAGTTGGTGGTTCCTGTGCTGACGAAGAAGCCCCTTGTTGCTTCTCAGTGCTGATCCGTCCTTTTGATGATGGATAAAAATATTTACTAAAAAAACAAAAAACAAAAAAAAATAAAAATTTGAAAAAATAGAAAAAAAATAAAAAAAAGTTAAAGACCATCGTAGAGAACTACCAATTGTGTATCTTACCGTATAGTCTAGGTATAGTGCCATCTTTTCTCATTCCAGAGGTAAGGTCTTTAGAATCGAGATGAACTATTATCAATTAACAGTCGCCTTTCTTGCAAGATACTCGAGGATGTAGTTGTGTACCACTTCAATGTCTCAAATCGACCTCGCCAGAATGCACCTCGAAGCAAAATGTGAGACAAAAAACACAATCAAGCCCAAATGAGGTGGGAATCTCCAGAACCCCCAAATTGGGACAAAGCACCGTAAAATATTATTCAGAGCCCTCTCGTATTTTTTAGCCTTAACTATGGCGATTCAAGCGTTCTAGTTTCTTTTGATAGAAGTGCGTGAGTGAGTGTTGGACCTACTCTAGATGGACGAATTTTTATGAAAATTCACCCAAAAGACTGACCACTTTCTGCGTAGTATCTATAGTTACTGTTCTCATACCCTTCGAGATGACCATTTTGCTACCACCTTCCTCTCTTGAATTACCACAGATGACCAAACCCATGTTTGTGACCACCAAGACAGCAGAATATTATTTCGTAGAACAGCCCTTTGGACTATAAAGCAAGGCCCATCCTCCACAAATTCTTTTTCCTTATCCACCACTTATCGATCAAAAATGCCCGCCGTTTCTACCGCCAGCACTATCACCAAAGCATCTAAGAAGAAGAGTTTCCCTAAGAAGTCGTCCACTGACAGAGGCAGCCTCAAGGAAAGTGACGCCCACATTAGGGAAAAAAAATTGAAGGACAAGAAGAGAAAGCGTTCTCAGAGAAAGCGTTCTACTAAGAACCCCAAGGACGTCAAGGAGGAGCCATCCAAGGAAGACGTTTCCAAGTCCACCCCAGCTAAGCAGGTTTCCAAGCCTGTCGAGCCCACCAAGGAAATGAAGAAGGCTAAGAGGGTGTTCCTCTCCAACGAGAGCGACTCCTACTACCCCTCCCACTTCTTCACTTTCCAGCTCATTTTTGAGGACTTTGTGCCTCTCAACCCAGGTCAGACTTCTTACCTTGAGCTTTACTTGGCCCAAAAGAAGGAAGAATTTCCAGAGGTTAAGGAAACTCCCGAGCCCGAGGTCATTCATGTTCAGCACTTGCCTGAACCAGTCAACCCAATTCAGGAAACTCCTGAACCAGTCAACCCAATTCAGGAAACTTTAACTGAAGCAGAGGTCTCCACTTACCCTGTCCACGCAACCCTTTTGCCCTTGGACTTTCCCGTTTTCAAGACTTGGTCGTCTTTGTCGCAGACTGAAAAGACCTACTACCCAGGCGACTTTCTCCATTTCAGAAAGTCCCTCAAGGAAGAGGAATCCGCATACTTCCCCAAGGATTTCTACTTCTGGCAGGATGCCTGGACCGAGAAGTCGGAGAAGTCCTTCACCATTGAGGACTTTTTCGAGTTCCGTCTCATTCTTGACGAGCTTGTGCCTCTCAATGCACTGAAGAAGAGAAAGGCCCCAAACACAAAGAAGGTCTTCCTCGTGGATGACGGACACCTTTTCGTCACCGACTTCTTCAGCTTTCAGCACATTGTTGATGGGCTCGAGTCGCTCGAGGGTCAGTTATCTGACTACGATTTCTGCTTGCGTGAAGAGCACTTTGAGTTGTACTCTACTGGAGAATCGGAACCAGAGCCAGAGCCTGTGAAGAGTCAGCCTGTGAAGACTCAGGAGGTCTACTTCCCCGAAGACTTCTGCAGCTTCTTCCAGCTCTGGACTTCCTCTCCCAAGTACAAAAAGGCTTTCCTTCCAAGCGACTTTTACTTTTGGAAGGATACCACAAACGACGAAGACACTCCCACCTTTTTGCCAAGGGACTTTTTCCACTGGCAGGGTGTCTTTAGTGAAAAGAGCAGCGAGTCCTTTTTTCCCCAGGACTTCTGCTTTTTTCAAAGCATTATCGATTCAGAGCCCTCATCGGTTCCTGAAACCAATGATGAAACAAAGGCATCCAGTCTTCCCCTGGAGTCCAACTCATCCTCAAAGTCTGACCTATCACTCCACTGCAAGAAGGTCAGAAGAAACTCGATACAGTCAAAGCTTTTCGTGGTAAAGCATCACAGCAATAAGAGGAAGATTCCTTATGTCGGAATAATTCCCAAGGAGCTAGTCCCTCCACTTCCCCCTGCTGATTTGGTGTATGACCTGGATAGCTCAGAGCAGTCTTCCATATTTGACTGGTTTCAGTTTGACCCTAGCATGAGTAATTCAGACGTTGACGCTTATCTAGGCGAGCTAGACTGAGGGACAAAGTGTGCCTTGGTCAAGGAAAAAAAAAATCAATTAATAGTAATAAAAAATTAAAAAAAGAATAGGAAAAAAAAAAGTAAAAAGAAAACCTCGAAGTAAGTTTAGCTTTTAGGCTTCAGACTAGGGAATGTCTGCGCAAAGCTTATGGGAACAAATTTTAGCCATCTTTGGATTAGCAAGCATCTTTTCAACTTCGTAAAACATTCATTCATTCATTTATCTATTTATCTAGATCAACTAGTATTTTACCGGGAGCCCCGGCTTGACCCGCTCACTGTCTCCAAATGCTCGACCTGGATGTCTTTCTTGCCAGACAGGAGAGAGTCCAAGTGGTCATCATCCTCGGCAAGCAGAATCTCCAGATCAGTAACCTTTTCACCGTCGAACAAGACCGCAATCTCCTCCAAGGAGTATCCCTTTGTCTCTGGGTAGAAGAAGTAGGTATTAAGCACTGCAAACAAAAGAATCACACAAAACACAATGTAGTAGCGCCAGCCGATGTTATCCATGGCGATAGAATTGCAAAAGGAGGAAATAACCAAGGAAGCTGAGGTTGTTGCAAGAACAAGTGAGACACCTTTGGAACGCATGGAATATGGGAATATCTCGGTGGGGTAGCCGATAAGTAAAGGTGTATAAGCAATGTCGTAATGGAAAAAGAAGATAAAAATAAAGCCAACAACTGCTCTTCCCGCGGAAACAGACTTGGTCTGGTCAAAAATAGCAGAGCATATCGTCCAGATGATGTATGATATTAGCATACCAATACCGGACCACAAAAGAAGGAACCTTCTTCCAAAAAAGTCAACACTAAATGCTCCCAAAGTGGCAAAGACAAAATTGAAAATTTGCAAAAAACCATTGATCAAGGTTTGCATGGATGAAGATGTGATACCGATAGTGTCAAGGACCAAAGTGAAGTAATAAGACACCACAGCATTACCACTCCATTGGGAGAAGATACCCATAGTGATGGCAATGAATGCACGCTTTCTGTTACCGGGGGTGGAAATGAATGCCATCCAGGTGGTCTGATCAGCTTGCCTCTCCATATCCAAGGCATTAGAAATTTCGATCATCTCGGTTTCAACAAGTGGACTATGGACGTCTCCACCGCCATGGAACCTAACCAAAATGTCCCTAGCCTTGTCAACCTTGCCCTTCGAAACGAGCCATCTAGGGCTTTCGGGAACAAAATATAAAAATACAAGCTGGATGATGGGGAAAGCAGCTTGGAGAATTGTAGGAATACGCCAGGCCCATGCATCACCTCTACCTGTGCAACCATAGCAGGACCATGCTGCCAAAATAGCACCAACGTAGAAGAGAGTGAAGTACAAACAGGTGATCTTTCCTCTCATGGTAGGGTAAGACAATTCAGCAACAAGCAAAGGTGCTGGTTGAACCGCCAAAAGACCAGCAAAACCAACAATGAACCTGGATGCAATAAGTTGACCAAGATTGTGGCCTGTAGCCTGGATAATTGTAGCAACAATAATACCAACGAGACCAATAGTCAAGGTCAATTTTCTTCCAAGCTTATCGGCAAGGTAACCAGCAAATGGAAGAACGATGACACCTCCAATACTCTGAGCTGCATTGACGAAACCTAGCATAGTGCCTTGAGGGTGGCCGAACTGGTCTCTCCATTCCTCCATGGACTGTAGTCCGTTCATCAAAGAACCATCATATCCGTTGACGGCAGCCGAGAGAAGAGGAACAATCAAGAGAATGTTGAGCAAAAGCAAGTGCTTCACCATGAACCAGGGCTTTCCATGGTCTGGAAGAGCCTCAGCAATAGCCTTGCCCACAATTTCCTCGATAGGTGTAGGCTTAAACTGCTCTTTGATCTTTTCAAGCTTGAACTTTCCATGCATTTTTAAGTGGTAGCGATGTTTGGCTGCAAAACAATAACCATATATAAGAGACTCAGGTTTATGCGGACTGCGTTTCCAGAGGGCGGAGTGACTCTCATGATCCGGAAACAATGGAATCAAAGAAGCAACAGGATCCAGCAGGTGGGGCTAAACAGAAACCGATAGTATAGAGGCACTACCGAGATTTGTCCCAAGAGCATATTTTTTGAACACCGAAAGCGGGGCTGAAAACGAAGCAGGCGCCTCGCTTTACCTTATAGCTTAAAATGGCCTGTTGGGTGCATCGAGCCTTGCCAAGGTGGGGCTGCAGTGACAGATTTTGACGTAATACGGGATGGAGATATCAATCAGGTGAGGCTGAGCCTGGGACAAATTTGTCAAGACATTCAAAAAAAAAAAAAAAAATCATATCGAAAGCCCCATTTGACTACAATCCCACTTGTGGTTGTTGAACCGGAATAACCTTCCTTGCATGGCGGGAATGACCGAATCCGGCCAAGCAAGTTCGAAGCTTTAAGTTGCATGGAGGCGGACTACAGGAAAGATTAAGCGCCGTGAGACAATGTGGGAGGGGGTGTCAAGAGCGTGGATTGGGGGATCTGGCATTTTGGCAGATTTTGGGGAGCGGAGCAAGTGGGGAATCGCTTATCGCATTAAAAATTGTCCGAATCCGAAGTAGGCTTTAGGCGAGGCTGGGCCTGCAGAAGTCTCGTAATCGTTTTACTCATACTTGACAGGTTTCGGAAGAATGCAGAGATCCGGGGCTTTCTTGGTGATCACGGTGATCGCTGACTCCGACATAACCTTGCCGGTTGCGTTGTAGTATGTATATGCGATTAAATGGTCAGGTATCTGTGGTGCTACTAACGTGAGGCTCCATGCGAGATTGGATCGAGATGCTCGTTAATGTAACCACCCAAATGACACAAAAGGCCAGCTCAGCAGATCCACCCCAACAGATAAAAGCCACCCCAACAGATAAGAGGGAGCTTTTACAATCAAAAATAATATCAACGGTAGCCCAGACACTCGTTTTACTAATGGGAGCCCCATGAAGCCGCATAAGTCCTATCACCGAATCAACGCCTTTTAGTCCGGCCTCGGACATTCAGGTCCGGAGTTGCTTATTCTCCTTTCTTCGCTGGTTACAGGCTGCCCCACCTTTTCCGTCTGTCGGATTTATTAAAAGCTTGCCGAGACCCTTCGACGCACCTCGGCAAGCGTACGTACCCCACATTCCTTTGATCGACCTCGCAGGCTGCCCCACCACGGAAATGTTCCGCGCTAATGGCTGCAAAATGTTTTTAGTCATGGATTGTTGTCCTTTTAAGTTGGTCAACATTTTCAGGTATACGGCCAGCTTGCTATGGTATAAAGCGTCGTTTGTAAATTCTCTCCTACCCACCACTCTTCCTTACCATGACCAACCAAGACATCTTGAAAAACACCTTAGACTTCTACACCTCAGGCTACGACTTCTCCAAAGCGGGGGTCAAGCCTGTCAGAGACCAGGTCGACGCCAGTAAGCCCATTCCTGCTGCAGAAAACACGTCCTCCTCGATCTTGCCCTGCGAGAAATTGAACATTGTGGATGGCAATTTCGTGGATTCTCTGGGACGCAAGAGAGTCCTCAAGGGTATCAATGTGGACAACAGCATGAAGCTTCCCGTGACGCCTTTTCTGCCAAGCTACAAGGGAAACGCCCTGGAGGCCGACAATGTGTTTTTCGAAGGCGACAAGGTCAGTTTCGTGGGCAGGCCTTTTCCATTAGATGAAGCTGAAGAGCACTGGAGGAGAATCAAGTCCTGGGGCTACAATACCGTTCGTTATGTGCTTACTTGGGAGGCCATTGAGCACGAGGGTCCTGGAAAATACGACGACGATTTCGTCAACTACACAATTGAGATGCTCAAGATCGTCCACAAGGTGGGTGGAATTTATGTCTTTTTGGAGAGCCACCAGGATGTATGGTCCCGTTATTCTGGCGGTTCCGGTGCACCTTTGTGGACCTTCTACGCTGCTGGTCTCCAGCCTACCAATTTTTCAGCCACAGAAGCCGCCATCTGCCACAACGACGCCCGTTTCGAGGAGCCCACAAACCCAGACTTCTACCCTAGAATGTTCTGGCCCACCAACTACAGCCGTTTGGCCAACCAGGTCATGTTCACTATGTTCTTTGCAGGCAAGACATACTTTCCCCACCTCCAGGTCGACGGTGTGGACATCCAGACCTACCTCCAGGGCCACCACCAGGATGCTTTGACCTACTTGTCGAAGAAGGTAGCAGAAGCGCTTCCAGAGTTGGTGAACGACGGCACCATTTTGGGCTTTGAGTCGTTGAACGAGCCCCACATGGGTCTTCTTGGTATTCCAGACTTGGGCGTCATTCCCAAGGAACAAACCATCCGTTTGGGCACCACTCCCACTTTCTTCCAGAGTGTGATCTTGGGTATGGGTCTTCCTGCGGAGGTGGACAACTACACCATCACGCTTTCTGGGCCTGTCAAGCAAGGTACGCTGATTGTGGACCCCAAGGGTAGAAGAGCCTGGCTTACCGCTGAAGAGGCTGCTAAGTACGACGCCCATTACGGCTGGAAACGTTCGGGCTGGACCCCAGGTGAGTGCATTTTTTCTGATTTGAAGATCTGGGAATGGTCCAAGTCTGTGGATTTGAAGGACGTCTACAACAAGCCCTTGGAAGAAAGGCTCGAATTCGGTAAGAGCCAGTGCAAGTTGCTTGAGCCAGGCTATTTCAACGACGCCTCCAAGATTTCCTCGTACCTTGGCGACAGAAAGCCGCCCAAGGACTTCAACATGGAGTTTTTCCTCGCCAACTTCTTTGTGGACTTCTACTTGGCCTACAAGAAGCTGGTGAGAGAAATCAACAAGGACTTCTTCATGCTCATCCAGCCACCCATCTTCACACCTCCACCTGACCTTAGAGGCGACAAGAGAGAGGTTATTGACGACAGGACCGTCTACGCTCCCCACTACTACGACACAATGACGCTTTTGTTGAAGACCTGGAACGAGCACTTCAATGCTGACTCCTTGGGCATCAGCAGAGGTCAATATCCTCATCCATCTTTGGGTGTCGTTGTGGGAGAAAAGGCCATCCGGAACTGTTTCAAGAAACAGCTCAATTTCATTGTTGAGGAGGGCAAAGAGAGATTGGGCAATATTCCGGCTCTCATGTCCGAAACGGGTATTCCGTTCGATATGGACAGAAAGCAGGCCTACAAGGACAACAAGTACACCTCCCAGACTGCTGCCTTGGATACACTTGCCAACGCTTTGGAGAACCTGGAGTTGAACTACACCTACTGGTCCTACTGTGCCATCAACAGCCACGAATATGGAGACTACTGGAACAACGAGGATTTCGCTTTCTGGTCTCCTGAGGATCAAGGAAAGAATTTCGCCCAAGGAGAGACCGTCGAGGAGCGTATCAAAAACTGCTATCCTTCTCAGGATGGTGTTCGTGCTCCTAGTGCTGTTCTTAGACCGTTTTTGGCAACCCACAAGGGTAAGGTGAAGGCTGTGGAGTTCGACATCAAGAAATCGAGGTACTCGCTTAGTATCGATGTGAGCGGTCAGTCTGGCTTGTCCAAGGCTCCAACGGTCATTTACGTTCCAAAATGGCATTTCCCAGATTTGTCCTTCAATGACATTTACGCTACTTCTGGAGAGTTCAAGTACAACGCCAAGCTTGAGTACTTGGAGTGGTACCACCCTGAGGGATCTGGCGAGGAGACTATTGTGATTCAAAAGTATGCTGGCAAGAAGGAGGATGTTACAAAGAGAGAGGAGAGCCACGCTTTCTGCACCATCGTTTAAAGTATAGAATGAAGTGTTTTTGATATGGGTGTAGTCAAGAGTGACGGCTTTAAAAAATGGGAGGATATCCAGATTTTACATTTTTGATTAAAATTGGAATTACGATAAAAATCAACCTTCAACGGCTAGCTATCCCGGCTGGTATTCTCCAAATGCTGCACCTGAACAGGCTTTTCCAAGTTCAGAAGGGCATCCGAGTCATCCATATCCTCCAAAGCTTCTGGATCCACCTTCGCTTCTCCATCGAACAAAACAGCAATTTCCTCCAAAGAGTAGCCCTTCGTCTCGGGGTAAAAGAAGTAAGTATTGAGCACCACAAACAAGAGAATGACACAGAACACAATGTAGTAGCGCCATCCGATATTATCCAAGGCAATGGAGTTGCAGAATGCCGAAATAATCAACGAAGCATTGACCATGACAAGAACAATCGTTACACCCTTGGAACGCATCGAGTATGGGAAGATTTCCGTGGGATAAGCAAGAAGCAACGGGGTATAAGCGATATCGTAGTGGAAGAAGAAAATGAAGATAAAACCAACCACCGTTCGTCCAGCTGCAACAGACTTGGTTTGTTCGAATATCGCCGAAAAGATCGTCCAGATGATATACGAAATAAGCATTCCGATTCCGGACCACAAGAAGAGGAACCTTCTTCCGAGGAAGTCCACCATTAAGGCCGCAAGTGTTGCAAAAACAAGATTGAAGATTTGCAAAAACCCGTTGATCATTGTCTGCATCGACGAGGATGTAATGCCAATGGTGTCAAGCACCAAGGTGAAATAGTAGGATACCACAGCATTACCACTCCATTGGGAAATCACACCCAAAGTCAACGCAATAAATGTACGTCTTCTGTTTCCTGGAGTAGCTATAAAAGCCTTCCATGAGGTCTGGTCAGCTTGTTTCTCCATTTCCAAGGCATTCGAGATTTCGAGCATTTCCGTCTCCACAAGCTGGCTTTTCTCGTCACCACCAGCGTGATATTTCACCAAAATGGTCTTGGCCTCATCGACCTTTCCTCTTGATACAAGCCATCTTGGGCTTTCAGGCACAAAGTACAAAAACAAAAGCTGGATAATGGGGAAGGCCGCCTGGAGAATAGTAGGAATACGCCATGTCCAGGTATCACCTCTACCTGTGCATCCAAAACACAGCCAGGAAGCCAAAATGGCACCTATATAGTAGGATGCCCAGTACAAGCTTGTGACTTTTCCTCTGAAAGTCGGATAAGCCAATTCTGCAACAAGCAATGGCGCTGGTTGTGCTGCTAGTAATCCTGCAATTCCAACAATAAACCTGGAGGCAATAAGCTGGCCAATGTTAATGCTGGTGGCTTGTATGATGGTAGCTAGCACTATACCCAGAAGGCCAATCACCAAAGTCCATTTTCTTCCCAATGTGTCTGAAAGGTAGCCACCAAAAGGAAGCACTACTACACCTCCAACGCTCTGAGCAGCATTGACAAATCCTAACATTTTTCCACGAGGATACCCAAAGTACTCCCTCCATTCCTCCATAGACTGAAGACCGTTCATCAAGGAGCCGTCATAGCCGTTGACAGCTGCTGAAAGTAGTGGTACCAATAAGAGAATATTGAGTACTAGCAAATGTCTCACTTTGTACCAGGGTTTGCCGTAGTCTGGAAGTACTCCAGCTATAGACTCACCAACGATGTTTTCCAAGGGGGTAGGCTTTAATTGGAATTTCATGATACAGGCAAAACTACTGAATCTTGCAACCTTTTAAGGCACCTCCCGCTATCTATGCGGAGTATAGTTTATCTAGAGATGCACCAGATGGAATCCAGAGAGGACCAGCACCAAAGAAGCTAATCGTTGCGGCAAAGAGGCTTACGAAGATACGAGCACTGGACCAAAACGTCGAACGCTACGGCAAAGTAGTGAGCCACTTTGTATTATTGTAGGCATGGGGCGTTTTGTTGGGTGCATCAAAGCTTCCGTTTAGCGGTGCATCCTCGTAATTGGCAGCCCAGGGTTTACCAGGTAATTTTTCAAGCAACAACTTGGAGCTTAATTTATAAAGAGAATATCTAATCTTCGGCTGAAGAAGATAGCCTTGGTATATGTTTCATTTCACGATGTTTCACCTGGAAAGCCTTGGTATCTTGGAACCAGAGGAGTGGGGTTTCCCAACGGCACCGGATAATCCTCTCCTGCACCGCCTTAGTGTCCGCTTCTGGCTCTATAGAAGTATAGAGCAGTCAAATCGGTGCTTATATGCGGAGGTTCGTACGAAAAAGGTAACTGCATGGATGCCGATAGCGGGATTTGGTCTAGATCGGACCACCGACAATATCACCGTATCGGAAAAATAACAATATCACCGCATCCTACGACAATATAACTCGATCTTTTCTGTAGTTTTTTGATCAATTCTATGTTTAGATATCTTGGATGATCCGGATTATAATCTGGCTGTGGGGCTAATGCGAGGCTGATCGTGAGGCTCTCGCTTATGCAAAGTGCATCTTCTCTACAACCCGATCTACATCAACATTCAATAATCAAAAAAGATCCATAAACCGAATATCCCCTTGAAATTGGTGATTACTATAATGCTCTGTCAATCGACTCCCTTGATGCATCTTCGGTGCTCTAAATCCTGCGGGTTTGCGGGTGCCTCGGACAATTAGATCCATGGACAATACACTCTCTCCATTGTCCCCCTACTTCTCCAAAAATCACAATGCCCTCTCGTATTGAACTTCCGCCTTCAACATACCGCACCCCGCCAGCCCCAAAAGCCAGGCTCTTATAATACCAGAGGACGCCTCGACCTACTCCAAGCCGTTATATTGTCCAGGGCCTTTTCATTCAAAAGTACATAAATTCTCGGACAACCTCTCGATGTATTGTCTCAAACTTGAAGCACTATGACGACTCTGCTCTTCTACACATCCGGTTAATCGACTGCCTGGCGTAGTATAAAGAAGTCCAGCCACCCTATCTCTTTCTCTGTATCACGATGAACACCGACCAAGAAATCTTGTCAAACACGTTGAGCTTCTACAACTCTGGCCCTGATTTTTCCGAGACCGGGGTGAAGCCGCTCAGAGTCCAAGTCGACGCTAGTAAGCCGATTCCTGCTGCAGAAAATGCCTCTTCTTCGATCTTGCCTTGTGAAAAGTTGAAGATTGTGGACGGCCACTTTGTCGATGCTCTGGGCCGCAAAAGAGTGCTCAAGGGTATCAATGTCGATAACAGCATGAAGCTTCCCGTGACGCCTTTTCTGCCTTCTTATGGAGGAAATTCTCTGGACCCCAGTAACATCTTCTTTGAAGGAGATACAGTGAGTTTTGTGGGAAGACCCTTTCCCTTGGAAGAAGCTGAACAGCACTGGAGGAGAATTAAGAGTTGGGGATACAATGTCGCTCGTTGCGTTCTCACTTGGGAAGCTATTGAACACGAAGGTCCTGGGAAGTACGATGACGACTTTGTCAATTACACCATCGAGATGTTGAAAATCGTCCACAAGGTGGGTGGAATTTACGTCTTTTTGGAGAGTCACCAGGACGTCTGGTCTCGTTACTCGGGCGGTTCTGGAGCCCCCATGTGGACTTTCTACGCTGCTGGTCTTCAACCTCTTAACTTTTCAGCAACCGAGGCTGCTATCTGCCATAATGACGCCAGATTCACTAATCCCACCGACTCGGAATGCTACCCCAGAATGTTCTGGCCCACTAACTACAACCGCTTGGCGAGTCTCACCATGTTCACCATGTTCTTTGCTGGAAAAGTGTACTTTCCTCACCTTGAGATCGACGGGGTGAATATCCAGACCTACCTCCAGAGTCGTCACCGGGACGCTTTGGCCCACTTGACCAAAAGAGTGACTGAATCGCTTCCTGAGTTGGTGGAAGACGGCACAATTTTGGGTTTTGAGTCGTTAAACGAACCCCACATGGGTCTTATTGGAAATCCTGATTTGGGCAGAATCTCTGAAGACCAACATATCCGATTAGGCACCACCCCTACCTTCTACCAGAGCGTGCTTTTGGGAATGGGGCTTCCTGTGGAAGTAGAAACCTACCTCATTTACCTTTCTGGACCGGTCAAACAGGGTTCTCAGATAGTCGATCCTCAGGGTAAGAAAGCCTGGCTTTCTGCTGAAGAATTCGCCAAGTACGACAAACATTACGGCTGGAAACGCTCAGGATGGACCCCAGGCGAGTGTATCTACTCTGGTTTGAAAATCTGGGAGTGGTCTAGGGCGTTTGACTTGGACAAAATCAACACCCTTCCTTTGGATACAAGACTCGAGTTTTCCAGAAGCCAGTGCCGTTTGCTTCAGCCTGGCTACTTCAACGACGCTTCCAGACTTTCTGCTTACCTTGGCGGAAAAGCACCTCCAAAGTCGCTTGACATGGAATTCTTCCTTGCCAACTTCTTTGTGGACTTCTACTTGGACTATAAGCAGCTGGTCCGGAAGATCAACAAGGACTACTTGATGCTTATCCAGCCGCCCATTTTCACTCCTCCTCCGTATCTTGGAAAAGACGACAGAGGCGTTATTGACGACAAAACCGTCTACGCTCCACATTACTACGATATCATGACGCTCTTGTTGAAGAACTGGAACGAACACTTCAATTCCGATTCTTTGGGAATCAGCAGAGGCCAGTACGCCCATCCTTCCCTAGGCGTTGTTGTTGGCGATAAAGCGATCAGAAACTGCATTGCCAAGCAGCTCAAGTTCATCGTCCAAGAAGGAAAGCAGAGGTTGGGTAACATTCCAGCGCTTTTGACCGAAACCGGGATTCCTTTCGACATGAACAACAAGAAGGCCTTTGAGGATTATAAGTACACTTTGCAAACCACCGCTTTGGACACTGTAGCCAATGGTTTAGAGCAGCTGGGGTTGCACCACACTTATTGGTCGTATTGTGCAATTAACAGCCACGAATATGGCGACCATTGGGATAACGAGGATTTCGCTTTTTGGTCTCCTGAAGATCAAGGAAAGAACCTTGGAAAAGGAGAATCTTTTGAAGACCGTATCAAAAATTGCTTTCCTTCAGAAGACGGCGTTCGTGCTCCTAGTGCCGTTATCAGACCTTTCTTAGTATCCTATAAAGGCGAGGTTAAGGCGGTGGAATTTGATATCAAGAAATCCAAGTATTCGCTTAGTCTTGATTTGAATGGTCAGGATGATACACCTACAATTATTTATGTTCCAAAATGGCACTTTCCAGATTTGTCGTACAACGATATCTATGCCACTTCTGGTGACGTCAAGTACAATGAGGAGCTTGAGTATTTGGAATGGTACCACCCAGAAGGTGCTGGTATTGAAACTATCATTATCAAGAAGTACACTGGAAAGATGGATGATGTGACAAAGAGGGAGGAAAGCCATGCTTTCTGCACCATCGTTTAATTATGAATATATGCTCGGGATATGGTGAATTGTAGATTGGCTAGTAAGGAGTTTCTAGGTGGAAAAGTAGATATAATGGTTACACCTATGTTCATAGAAGTTGGTTGTTTTCTATGATTCTGATATAGCCAATGATGCTTCGAAGTCTACACCCCCAATACATCCTTCTGTTCTTTCATTCTATGAAACAAGTATACATACATTTGCCACCATGGACTTGGTGAAATTATCAGGTATATCTGTGCCACCGACGACATTTTGTAGTGCCGGCTGGATTAGTATCACAAGACTTTTGTCACTTTAATCTAGACAAACCATGATCATACTCTATCGTTCTAGAGGCACGGAGCCGATGCAATGCAAGCCTCTGTTGAACACTGTTCTATTCCAAGCCACTGGAAGCGTATTGTTATTTCTGCTGCACACCCGGCAGCCAAGATCTCCATCAACAGGCTCACAAAAGGTACAGCAACCACTGGCCGCTGATATACTCTTGCTCGACAAGACCGGGATTCACGTAAACGAGGTCTGGTAACCACTCGTGGTTGTACTGTCTGAAGACATTCTTGTAAGCACCGTCGGTGTCTGGTTCAAGAAGATCGTCAACGATCTTGCTCAAGACATCACGAGCAACGCCGTTGATCGGCGAGTACCAAGGAGCATTTGTATCCTCGGGACCGCTCAAGCCCACTGAAGCTTGCAACAACGACTCATTCTGAGCGGCTAATGCAGCTTCGAAGGCTTCCGTGTCAATGTGACCAATAGGGGCGCTCTGCTTATGCTTTTCTTCTGCTGTGGCTGGTATACTTCTCAAAGCCTCGAAATTACCAATCTCGACATTGACGGGATATTGACGGGGCTGAATTCCCTTGATGATAAACTTCTTACGGGGCTGTGCGGAAGAGTCAGACTGAGGAAGGTTCACCACCATAGCCTCGGAGTTGGGGAAAGCGGAGCTCACATTCTTGATGAACTCCACGGCAGGCAACAAGTTGGGCCAGTTAGGATTAAGACGTTCCTTCCAGATAGCCTCAAACTGGTTCTCGTAAGCTTTCCAGAGCGAAATCTGAGTGACCTCACCGGCAGCCACATCCTTTTGATTGTCGTCTGGGTTAGTTACCTGAGTGTAAGGCTCGTAGCAACACCGAAGCCACGTAGTCGCTCTCAAAGGTTCAGGGAAGTTAATGATGATATCGTACAATTTTTTGGGAAGCTTTGCGGTACTGAGGGGAATGCCCGCGTATGCTGAACGCTTTGTGAAGGTGACAGGCAAAGTGCTTTGGAACTTGTGGGGGTCCACGAGTGGCAATTTAGCGATGATCAACTCAGGAAGCTGTTTCAACAAAATGTGGGTGTTGGACATGCGGGAGTTGTTTTGCATAAGCTTTCTAACACGGTGGAGTTGCGATTTGGCAACAGAATTAGGATATTGAGCATGCAACGCGTCCAGGGTAACGTATTGGCGCAAGAACAGCAACGAGGCATGTGTGAGTTCATCGTCGTTGATGACCAAGGTACGCACAATGATCAGGAGGTGTTCTATCAGCAATGAGTCTATGCAGTTATTGGTTTCCTGGGTGTCATCGTCGTCAGCCTTGGAAGCATCGTTGGAAGCCTTTGTGAAAAGTAAATGATGCAAGGATTTGATGGTGTTGAGCAACACGTACCTGTCGGAGGTGTGACTCAAGATGTGAAGGAACGTGTGGAACATGGAGTCGTTCTTCGTGGTGTTGGTGTAGAAACATGTGATTGGGTCAAGAATGTCAAGCAAGTACAAGAATGCCTCTCTGAAGAGCTCGCTGAACTGGCTGAGGTGCAGCTTGCGCACGCCAGGGTTGTAGAACCAGTTGGCAAGGAATTTGAGGGTTTCTCCGGCGAATCTACGGAAGTTGTCCCTCTGACAAAGCCACTGCTGGTTGTGAAGATCCTGAACGGCATTCCTTAGCGATAGAAGCGACTCACAGCTGAGAGAGACCACCTCGGCACGCAAATCGGCCTCTTTACCTTCCAATATCATATGGTATGGTTTCACGAAATAACGAATGAGTTCCTTGCCCATGAGCTCGTGGGACGTGAAATCCAAGAGCTTTGGCTCGTTGCAGGAGTAGTATGTGAGCGTGGAAAGCGCGTATTCGATCTCGCTCTCGATTCCCGATTCAAGCGACATGATGATTCTGTCTAAAGGAGCGACACCCATGTGTCCGGCACCATGCAACTCCAGATTGGCCTGACCGTAGGGGCCTCCTGTATACAGACCACCGCCGAAAGTGTCAGCGTTAACGCCGACGCGAGATACGCCTTGAACTGGCACAAGCAGGGGCATATTTGGTTAGATAGTTTATTCAGTTTGGTGTTTATGAAGATTTGTGCGAAGTGTTGAGGTTCCGGTACGCGCACGTCGCGGGCGTGCTCAGCCACGTGACACACGTGACACATCACATGACCAAAGATGGCTTCGGTGCAGCTCGGTTGTGTCTTCACGGGAAATTTGAACCTAAAACGATAGTATCAACCTAATTGAGGTCCGTCCGGCTAAGTCCGAGTAGCCGAGGTTCTCGGTCGGAAATACACTCGTACTATTGCTAGTTTCTCCGCGTACTTGCGCGGCTCTAAAGATAAATCCGGCATGCGCTACCCCCAAGGTGGCGAGAGATAAGATATAAGGGTCCTTCAATTCCCGATCAAAATCCACTTTTTTCTAAAATAATGAAACTTTCGCTAATTGTGGCCGCTGCGCTCGCCGCAAACGCCAACGCCTCCTTCTTGGACCCGCTCAAGGGCCTCTTCAATTGGGACCAAGATGTGATTGACATTTCTAAGGAGGAAACGTTCAAGTTCGACTTTTCTGAGGAAATCAGCCAATTGGGTGCCGAAAAGGACCAGGTCTTGAAAGCCTGGAAGCAATTGACCGCCGACTTTGGTGCAGATGTGTTGAACAGAGCCACCGAGGCCTACAATGCCGCCAAAAAGGTGAAGGAGAACCACATGAACAACAAGGTGAACCGCTTGAGCAGCAACTTTGAGGTCCAGACCAACGACAACTTCCCTGGATACGCCTTGAGAGCCAAGAAGACCAACCCGGAGATTTTGGGCTTGGACACGGTCAAGCAGTACACTGGTTACTTGGATGTGGAGGAGCTCAAGAAGCACTTCTTCTACTGGTTCTTTGAGTCCAGAAACGACCCTGAGAACGACCCTGTGATTTTGTGGTTGAACGGCGGTCCAGGCTGCTCTTCCGCCACCGGCTTGTTTTTCGAATTGGGTCCTTCTTCCATCAATGCCACTTTGCAGCCTTCTTTCAACCCATACTCCTGGAACAGCAACGCTTCTGTGATTTTCTTGGACCAGCCCGTTGGCGTCGGCTACTCCTACACTGAGGGTGACGAGATCAACTCCACCGCTGCTGCCGCCAAGGATGTGTTCATCTTCTTGGAGCTCTTCTTCCAGAAGTTCCCTCAGTTCATCAAGAACAAGTTCCACATTGCCGGTGAGTCGTACGCTGGCCACTACATCCCTGCATTCGCTTCCGAAATCATCAACAACGCCGACCGTTCGTTCGAATTGGCCTCGGTCTTGATTGGTAACGGTATCACCGATCCTTTGGTCCAGTACAAGTACTACAGACCCATGATGTGCGGTGAGGGCGGCTACAAGCCCGTTTTGAACACTGACCAGTGTGAGCAGATGGACAAGGACTACCCACTTTGTGCTGTTTTGACCAAGGCATGCTACGCCGCTCAAAACGCCTTGACCTGTGTTCCAGCCAACTTGTACTGTGAACAGAGACTCTTTGGCCCATACAGCGAGACCGGCTTGAACCCATATGATATCCGTAAAGACTGCTCTGACGGCGGTAACTGTTACGTCGAGCAGGACTACATTGACGACTACTTGAACCTCGATTTCGTCAAGGAGGCTGTCGGGGCCGAGACTGATATCTTCACCGGCTGTGACGACACTGTCTTCAGAAACTTCATTCTCAACGGTGACGAGATGAGACCATTCCAGCAGTACGTGGCCGAGTTGTTGGAGAAGGACATTCCTGTCTTGTTGTACGAGGGTGACAAGGACGTTATTTGCAACTGGTTGGGCAACCACGCCTGGTCTGATGCCTTGGACTACTCCAAGCACGACTTGTTCGAGGCCCAGCCTTTGCGTCCATGGTACACCAAGGACGGTAAGTTGGCTGGTGAGGTCAAGAACTACGACAAGTTCACCTTTGTGCGTGTGTACGACGCCGGCCACATGGTGCCATACGACCAGCCCGAGAACTCCTTGGACTTGGTCAACAGGTGGATCCTGGGTGACTACACCTTCCGCAAGTAGGTGACAAAAGCGTACTAAAAAATGAGAGATTGTTTGCTTAGAGAGTTGTAGAACTGGTAGGTTGAGTGGTAGAACAAACAGAGGTTTGTGGAGGAACAGCAGAGATTCTGTTTGTTTGTTAGTCTCTTTATGATATGAGAACTGAATAAAAAGGGTCTTGAATGGAGGGCTTATATATCTTGATATTCCTCAACGATCACTTCTTTACAGGAAATTCAACTGTTACTAATTTTTGCGACGAACACTTCTTTTCAAGAAATTCAACTGATACTTTTTTTGCGTTTGGCTAGAAATTAAGAGAATAGGTCTTTGAAGGTTAATTCGATGATCAGTGGAGACATGCAATGAAATCGTAAGAATCAAAAGTTAAAGATAAAACAACTCAGATTCACATATATTCAATATAAGTCCTTCTCACTTTTTGCTTCTCAGCTCATAAATCCATTTGCTGGATCCGCTTACAGAAGAATGGTTGTGAAATCTTCACGAAGTAGTATGATCACATTGGTTTTTCGGCTTTCACATGAAGCTTCCAATAACCGCTTATCTGTGATTCAATTTATTAAAACCACCTTCCAATAAAAAATTTTTATCATTTAGCGCTAGTGCAACTAAGTACACCATCACCTACACCCACTAAACCCATACTTCAAAAAATCGTCGTTTTCCAGCCTATTCACAGAACTCTAACTTTCAACGCCCTACGCCTCATGCTGCTTTCCATGAAGCTCCTCCTGCAACTGCTCCACACTACTACTCGTGCTTTCTCCTTCAATAACTTCAGTGGTTCTAGTAGGACCGTGGTACACCTTCCTAGCATAAACCCAGTAGTAGATAAGCGACAAGAGCCACACACCGGGCGCAATAACCACCGTATAGTTCATGCTTTCCGCATCTGGATTCCTATCCCTAGGGAACATCACCATGATCAAAACGTACGCCGTGAAAAACACCGAGATCCAGCCGTTCACCTGCGTCATGGTTTTGCCCAAGTAGAACGGACCCGGGGTGAATTTGTCCGAGTAAATTAAACGTAACGTCGTAGGCATGGACCATGCAAGAAGGTTTCCGGCAACACCCAAACTGAATAACGCTGCTGCTGCTGTGGTGCCAATAAGCACCAAAAGTCCAACCACGAGGGCCACAGCGGCACCGGTGATGACGGCATGGATCGGCACGGAAAGCTCTCTGTTGACCTTTTTGATCCACCAGGAAAACGGAAGACCGTTATCTCTGGCAAAGGCGAAAAGCTGTCTGGAAATGGCCGTCAAAATGGAAGCTCCCATGAGAAACTGGCCAATGGTAATAAGCACCATAAACGCAATAGCCACAGGCTTGCCCTGGCCGGTTTTCGTCTCAAAAGCATCGTATATGATCTGTGCCATTGGCTGGCCGTATTTCGTATCCATGATGGTGTTGAGGTCGTCTGTCTGAACACAGAAAAACGTTACTATCAAAATGAAAAACCCAAGAAGCCCGCACGCCGTGATGGAGCTGATGATTCCCAACGGAACAGCCACGGTGGCGTTCTTACACTCCTCAGACATATGGACACACGAGTCGTACGCTCCTATGGTCCACACAGCCAGCTGCCATGCCTGGGAGACCTGGTTCCAGCCCATGGGGAAATTCGTTAGATTTTCGAAATTTCCAAAAACCCACGAGGCCGGTTTGAACAGGCCCCGGGAGGCGCCAATGGGCATGGCGATGAAGAAAATGGCAATCAAAACGACATTCCACACGATCGAGGTGGTCTGCAACGTAGCAACGTGCCGGGACGAAATGGACGTCACAAACATGTGAACAATGACACAGGCGGCGAAAACACCGTACGTTTTGGCCTGAGTCACCTCGAAATTGCCGTCTTTGGCGATAACCACCACAGAAAGAAGCTCCTGGGCGAATCCGTAGTCAATCGAGCAGAACCCGCAAATCAACGAAAGCGAGTTGGTGTTGCCGATGATGAAGGAAAGCACCGACTTGAGTTTGGGCGGAGCGTAGTAGTTTGTCCAGTAATAGAGACCTCCCGAGGTGGGTTGACAAGAAGCATTTTCACTCATGGCCACACCAACAACCAAAATAAAACAAGACGCAATAAGCCATCCCCAAATGGCACCAGCAGGTCCAGCTGTGATGCCGTAGGAAAGCGTAGTTGCAATCGACGGGAGCAAGCCCATAATAGAAAAGGCCACGCCGAAAACCTGAATCGTATTAAACCTTCTCTTCAATTCAGGCTTGTACCCGATCTGCGCCAAAAGATCGTTGTCTGTCGTGGTGTGCAACGCATCGATACGAGGACTTTCGACGTTCTGGGTGTTGTTGTAGAAGCGGGGGTCGGAAGCCACCGCCTCCAATAGCTGTTCGTTGGAGAGAACCGGATGGACCATGCTACAGGCCAAAAACCGGTTTCGCTTTGTACTTATACCCAGCGACTGGGCGAGAAAGAGGCGTCAGAAAAGCGCAGTATCGTCTAGGCGCTTAGAGCCCGTTACGGAAGCTCGAGTCGGCACATTCTGGAAAGATAAGCACTGTGCATCCGCTGATAAGAACGTTGTGCGGGTGCCCGGGCGTTGAAATAAGGGCGATTTCTGACAAGAAGTGATTTTTAGGGGGGTTTTAGGACACAAAGAAGAGCAAGATAAGAAGTGGGGAAGGTGGTTGAATTGTTGACTTGTAGCTTCCACGCATGAGGTATTGATGGATGCTGTTTTGTAGACTGCACTTTTTTGAATGGAACGTCGTTTGGACATGCCTTTACGGAGCAGCTTGGCAACGTTTGACATGTGGCTTAGACGGGTTTTCGTCTAATTCATGGTTTGTGCGGCTGTTTAATTAAGTCGATCAAGTGGATTGCCTGATTGCGTGGATTGCGTGGGGTTACTGCGTGCTGCTGATATACATCTTTATCTCTGGTTCTTTTCTTTTGCGACGATATTCGTCGATTCTTTTGTGTTTCTTTCTTTTTGTGATTTTGTCTTTTCACAAAATGGACAGCTTCCATGAGATATTAGCTGGGCTGATAAATAGCTGGATCCGGGAGCCAGGCTTCAAACTCCCGGATTGGTCAGTCACTGATAAGACAACGCAGGGCTCCCAACGGATCTTCTTTTCAAGATTCTTGGTTTTCGTAGATAATCGTGATAAAAGTGGTATCAAGCCGATTTTCGGTATGTGCTGCAAAATGCACTGCTTTGATAAGACGCCCGGGACGGTCACGCCCAATCTGGCTCCACGGGCGAGGGGAATTTTGGTCTGACTGTGGGACTTTGTTTGATTAATACTGTGATGGTGTTTTTGGGGTTTCGGGAAGAAAGAACCCATCGTGGCTTAACAGCATTGGCGAGACGAATTCCTCTTCAGGAACGGCTACTTGATCTGGAATAGCGATTCTGGATGATTGAGGCACCGTTCCGTGGCTTAGCTGGCTGTTTTCACCCAAGAGTATTTGAATTCATTTTTTAAAGAGAAGTTCGAGATGTTATAACTGGTTTGGTGAATCTTGGGGATTGACGAAGAGGGTATGTGAAGAGATGGAATGAAGTGGGAGCATGAAGGGGTGGAAATTTTGATTTTGAAATTTTGGCAATGAAGAAAATTCCATTACTTTTACAAGGCTAGCTTATCTGAACGCTTGAAGGGAATGGTCCTCTGTTGTTAAATCTAGAATCAATACAGCTGCAAGACCAAGGATCGCCCCAACTTACAATCCATTTTACTAATTGAAGCACCAAATTTGTTAAATCTACTTTGCTGGCCTTCACTTCCCAATAAAAGCTGAGTGACTTTTCAAAATTCAGCCATCTATGTCCAATTTTTCGATTTCTAGTCTTTTTGGTCCATCAAAGTTCACCTTGTCCATCATTTACAAGAACTCCATGTTGCAAGGTATCCACAAACAAATGACGCTTTGATTCAAAAACTATGGTCCAAAGCCCCAAAACATCAAAATTTCCAAATATTACCCCTTACAGTCAAAACCGCTGTGGACCATCTACTGCAAAATCCCAATCCCCAGGGCTCCAGCCCTAACCAACGGCCCTCATCGCGGGGTGTTTTCTGCAGGACTGAAAAAAAAACTTCACCGCACTCAACTATATAACCTCGCCTTTTCGCACATTTTCAATACCTCACCAACTCTAACTATGGCTACGTATGTACCCAAAATCATCACTACTTTTCGCTCGGCAGAGTCCGGCTTGAGGTATGGTGTCGTCCGGTGGCAGCCTGCTGCGCCGGGGAGGAGGCCTGGAACCAGAAACCATGGGATATTTTTCTCATGAACTCGTTCCTTGCTTCAGTTATGACAGTGCTATTCCTGGAGACCTTGGTCTCTTGCGAAAGCCAATAACATCTACATGACCGCAAGGCCATGTCGTCAGCTCAGCTCCGCTTTGCCGACGTGGGTTTTCAATCCCTCTAGCCTAACAGCTCAGACCATGAATCCCCGTTTATCTAGTCGTCCTCGACTACCGTCATAACGCCTCTGACACCTCTCGCCGCCTGCTCTTCAAAACCCCATGCTAACATTCAGTACTTTGAAGCCTGAGACTCAGATCAAGAAGACCAAGACCGACGCTAAGGTCTTGGAGAAGCGTGCCGCTGACAAGGCCGCTAGAAGAGCCGTATGTACCCATTGAGTGACTGGTCCTTTTGAAGATGACAATCTTTTTTTCGTATATGACTAGCTCCGGCTATGCTGTCTATCAGTTAACCATCTTTCGGGACTGAGAAGGGACCCTGTAAAACGCGATATACTAACCATTTTAGACCAACAAGGAGAAGAGACAGGCTATTGCTGAGAGAACTGCTGCTTACTACAAGGAGTACAGAGACGCTGAGCGTGCCTTGATTGACGCCAAGCGTGAGGCCAAGGCTAACAACTCTTTCTACGTTGAGGCCGAGCCAAAGTTGGTGTTCGTCATCAGAATCAAGGGTATCTCTAAGATCCCACCTAAGCCAAGAAAGATCTTGCAGTTGCTCCGTTTGACTCAGATCAACTCTGGTGTTTTCGTCAAGGTGACCAAGGCCACTTCTCAGTTGCTCAGATTGGCCGAGCCTTACATCACCTACGGTTACCCTAACTTGGCTACCGTCAGAAAGTTGATCTACAAGAGAGGTTACGGTAAGATCAACACCCAGAGAATCGCTTTGTCTGACAACCAGATCATCGAGGGTGCTTTGGGTAAGTACGGTATCCAGTCCATCGAGGACTTGATCCACGAGATCTACACTGTTGGTCCTAACTTCAAGCAGGTCAACAACTTCTTGTGGCCATTCCACTTGTCCAACCCTAACGGTGGTTTCAGAGCTAGAAAGTTCTTCCACTTCATCCAGGGTGGTGACACTGGTAACAGAGAGCACTTCATCAACAACTTGGTCAAGCAGATGAACTAAGCGTGTTGTTGCAGCTCTTTTTTCCCCTTGAATGTATTTGAATATATCATTTCATTCTCCTTGTGTACGATAATTTATGGTTTCCGGTTAACTTTCAAGCCATTCGTTGAAGCTGTAGACCCAGTATTCAAGCCATGGCACCTGCTGGATCCATGAAAAGGAGATGTGGCTGGAGACGCTCCAGAGCGTAGTGTAGTAGATGAGCTTCAAGAGGTTTTGGATAATGAGGAATGCGAGGAACAACGCAATGACGTCAACAACGAGCCCAGGGAATTGGCGCTTTCCGGAGTAGAAGTACTGCTTTGCAAACGGCAAGCTATGTAGCCAGTCCACCTTTGAGTTACGCTGCAGCTGTAGATCCCTGATTAGTTTGTCCTGTTCATCCAATGCCTTCTTGAAGCTGTCTAGTCTTTCGGGGCCTGTCTTTCCTAGTTTTTCCTCGTACAACAGGCAGAGTCTCTCTAGATGGGCAACCTTCCGTTGTAGTTCCTCCACGTCCGAAATGTCAGATTGAGCACTTACACTGGCTGGGATGGGTATGGTCGGTTCCAGCTTAATTGGCTCTTCCTTAACCACCAGGCTCTTGGGCTCCGAGTAGGGCCGAATGTCAGGAATCTTATTTCTCTCGTACTTTCCTCTCAACGAGAACGTATCGTCCAGCGACTTGGGACGAAACGAGTAGGAGGTATGGTTATCCAAAAGACGCGTTAGGGTGAGTTTCAGCGTGTTTGCTCGTTTCTGCAATAACTCCTCCATCGACAGAGTCTTTGTAAGCCGTAGAATGAAGCGCTCCACGTCTCTCTGGAACAACTTTAGCGTGGGTTTGTCTAGAGCCATTTTCAGGATGATTTCCATTTCGGGTTTCGTTAGTAGGGTCAGAACGCCCAAAAACGCTTCCATTTCTGTCACCAACTTGGGAACTTCACTCACAATGATATGGTTTCTCGGCAGCCCCTTGTGGGCGTAGTTATCCCAGCATGTAGCTATGAACTGATCATATATCGTTCCCATTGGTGGTGTTTTGATGAATTGTGATCTGTTGTTTTTGGATTTGATAAATTATGAATTAAGAGTCAACTCAATGGATTTGATGGAATCGTAGTTGGGGTTGAATAATGTTACAGGGTTCGTGGTGTAGTAGATCTGAGATGTTTGTTGATGTTGATAATGCAGAAACATATTCGCGGTCGATACTACTGATGCTTCTAAGCTGTGCAATGTTCTACAAAACATCCATAATGTAACATTAGGCGTCGTAATTTTCTATATGCTGTGGACGTAAATGCTGAAATGAAAATGATCATTATTTTTGCTCGTTGCTTGCACTATCAGGGTTCTCTCCTAGCTCAGCCAAAAGCATCTCACCTAAGGCTGCGGATTGTGCGGTTGATGTTTCTTGGGAGGTTTCTTGTTTTGGTTCGCTGGAAATAAAAGGCAATGATTGGTCCACGTAGGTCTCGTCGGGGTACGCTGAGGTGTTGGGGAAATCAGCAGCTAAAGATGCCAAAAGGGTGTCGTCACCAGGCTCAACAGCAGGAGGTTGATTTGAGGAGGGGACTGTCGAGGATGAGTTGCCAGGGGCACTCGATGGTGGTTGTTCGATTTGTTCGGGTTTTGGCTGTGAGTTTGATGATTCGGTAATTGGAATAGTGGGTTGAACGGGAGGTTGGGCTTCCTGGTTTTCTTCCACTGTGACAGCTGGAGTTGCTTTTTTAGGAGCCTCTTGAGAAGGAGCTGCTGGTTCCACAGGCTCTGGATTTGATTTTGCTTCATCGATGATTTTAGAAATAGGCTCAATTGGTTCTTCAACAGGCAGTCTCGCCACTTCAGGAATCTTTGTTTCCTCAGGTTCCACTGTGGGTTTGGATTTTGGAAGAAGCTCGGATTCCTTAGACACGGAAGACTCATGCTGTTGTTGAGCCTCATTGTGCTGGTTAGACTCATCATGCTTAATGGACTCGTGCTCATGTTTCGAAGCATCCTCCTGTTTAGAAACATCCTCCTGTTTAGAAGCATCCTCCTGTTTAGAAGCATCCTTCTGTTTGAAAGCATCCTCCTGTTTAAAAACACTCTCCTGTTTAGGATCATTCTCGTGTGATTCTTCAATCACCGGCTCAGGAGCCAATACACTTTTGTTCTCCGGGGATGCTGCATCCTCTGTGTCAACTTGCATGGGTTCCGCTTCGGCTGATTGAGAAGGAGCACCAACAGCCTCGGGAAGTGGCTCAACTCTGGGTTCTGGAACTGAAAATGAGCTTCTCTCTGGAGTTTTATCTTGTGTAGCTTTTTGCTCAGTTTCAGCTGATTCCTTAGATTCTGACTCACGAACAGGCTCATTCTTCAGAATATCCAGAACATTAGAGCTGTCTTCCTTCTCGATCTCCATGTCAACTGGCTTTTCATCCACAACAGCTTTATGTGTCTCCGAGATTTCAGGAGCGGGCTGGGGTGAAATGGCGCTTTCAACAACAGGTGTAGGAGTTTCCTTGATGGCCTCCTCTGGCTTTGCATCTGTAGATTGTGATGACACTCCAGTCTTTTCAGGAATGCTAGAATCTGGCTTAGATGGCAGGGGTGAGGTCACCTCAGGACCGGTGGAACCCACAGGCTCACTAACTTCCTTGGTTTCAGCCTTGGTTTCACTTTCAGGCTCAACTGCAATGGATTCCTCCTTCACTGATTCAGACGACTTTTCGGCCACTGGTGCCCCAGAAACTGGATGTGGTTCCGTTGGCTTTTCAACTTCAGCTTGTGGAGCTTGTTTAGCCATTGAAAGAGGAGAAAAGAATTGAGGAACGGGAGGTGGAAGAATAGGCCCACTTGGCTGGGTCTTGTGCGAGTAGAATCTTCTTTGATCCTCATTGAACTCTGTGGGGCTTCTGGTGACCGATTCCCTAGCATCTTCTTTTGGAGATTGGGCTTTCGAAGGTGTAGCTGGGGACTCACGATCAACATCCATGTCGTTTTCTGACTTTTCAACATTCTTCGATACATCTTCCTCGGGCTTGGCCGTAAGAAGAATGTTCAAATTGGTCTTCAAAAATCCAGAGAGCTTCTCGTAGATCGAAGTTATAAGCACCGGAGCACCAAATACCTTTCTGAAAATGTAGGCCTCATAGTGCACCAGAAGGGCTGTCTGCTCAGAGTTCCAAACCTTCCCACTGAAGGTTCTCCTAAAGTCGTCAATCTGCTCCTTCAATCTCTTCAACTCATCCAACTCGCTTGAAGGCTTGATCTTAAGGTCCTCGCCAGAAGCAACAAACTCATCGATCAATGAGTCGGTGATCTTCTCCTCTGCAAATTCTGCAAGAATCGACTCAGAGTCCAACAGCAAACAAGCAGGGCAAACGTAGTTATCATCGTTTTCCTCGATCTCCAGCTTTTCCTTGACACAGAAGATATGGTACCACTCGTGACAACGGTCACATTCGATCATGATTCCATCCTCAAACTCTCGACAGAGACAGTAACGCAAGGGCTGTTTCTCATCGTAAACGGGGTCAATGTCTTTGAGGAACAAATAGCCACCGGATCTTTTGAAGGGATCAACTTCTTCACCTGCAAGGTTCGTAGCAGTCTTGGTATAGATTGTGGAGAGTTTCTTGACCAATTCGGTGTTCACAGCTTGTTTCAAAGTCTGAGTATCAAACAGCCTCTTTGCCCTAGAACCAAAAGATGCCTTGACCTTCTTCAAAGCCGTCCACAAGTTACCCAACCAATTGAGGGACTTGTCAAGATCAGCCTTGATTTCTGAGTCGTCATAGTCGTATTTGGACTTCTCCAAATCGGCCATCATCTGTTTTGCAGCAAATAACGAAGGCTTCGTAGTTTGGTAGTCTTGCAAAAACTTGACAAGAGGTGCTTGAGCCTTGATATCGACAAGTTTGTGGTAGGATTCCATGAATACGAAAAGACGTTTCTCTTTGATCTCCTTGGCCTTTTCCTCCATATCAATAATCAAAGTATCAAGTTCAGCGAGGTTGATCTTGTTGAGCTGCTTGTGGTTTGAAATGTAGGCATTGACCTTCTCGTCGTACGAATTACCTTCCTGTAACCATGCATCAACCTGCTGAAGCTGATCAACATCCTTAGCACTGAGAACACGCAAACCATCGTTGTGGAATTGCTGAAGATGGGATAATGAGTAAACTTCCTTCTTTCCCGCAAAAGGATCACCGCCTTCAAAAAGAATGTTGTAGGTCTTGATCCAAACTTCTCTGTCCCGCAATCTCACCAAAAAGTCGAGTATTGGCAACTTGATACCAAACGAAGTTCCCAAATTGATCATGTCGTTGAGTTCAGACTGTTGGACATTGGGCTTTGAAATCAAGTTACGACATGCACGGTCGAAGTTTTGGATCTCGTTCTTGAATTCGAGAACTTGGTCAAACTCGACAGCATAGAAGTTGAGCTTCGGAATTTTGTTAGCAAGGTCGAGCAATGTCGAGAGTTTTCCTTGTTTATCCTGTTCTTGCGGCACATTATTCTCTGAGGCTCCTCTTATTCTTTGCTGATGCTTCAACGACAAAACAGCTTGACACTCCTCGATGATGTCATTGCAGTGAGTAACGAAATGATCGAGATTTTCAACATACTCCTTGAAAACTTTCATCTTCTCCTCACGTTCAAGGTCCTGAGCTCCACGGGATCCGTTAGAAACAAACCTTTTGAACCTAGGATGAGCACTTGACAAAGCGGCAAGGATCTTTTGACCGTCTCCCAACAAAGTCTTGTAGGTTTTGAAAGGAACCTCCTCCTCGTCCTTCATGACATTTTCGTAAGTCGTGACCCATTCGTCAAACTCGATAGAGTATCCACTGAGGACTCTCTGGTAGTTCTTGAGACGATCATCAGACAAGAACAAATGAAGCTCGATTTTGTGGGAAGTCGAGGATATGAAGTCTGGTAAGCTTGGTTCCTGGTTTTCTCTCTTCTGGACCTCTAAGGCGTCACAATATTGAAGGAAGCTTTCGAGAGACATGGATAACTGCTCACCATCCTTGGTGTTGCTTATCAAGATCTTCGAAGGAAACAAGTTCTGGAGATTGTCGTCTGCAATACCGTCGGCATCAGGAATGCTTCTTTCTTCCACCACAACCTCCTTCATCTTGACCCTGGTCCTAACCTTGTTTCTGAGTTCAAGCTCCTTCTCCAAAAGCTTGTCGTAACATTCCAGTGCTTTCGTGTAGACATCTGAATCAAAGCTTCCGCAGTTGTTTTCGTACAAACTGGCGATGTTCACAAGTAGCTTGAATAGCGATATGTTAGGAAGAATCCCTTGCTTTTTGAGCCATTCTTCTCCCTCCAAGGCGTAGTCAAGCCAGCCCTTAGATGCAAAATTGACATCTTCAGTGATGTTCAAGCCCAAGGATATGGACAGCGAGTAGGACTTGGGGTACTGAAGGATGATTTCGCCAGGCTTTTGCAAAGTTGTGGTGAACCGGATCCCTCTGCTCTGGAGCATTTCCGGGTTGATGAAGTACTCTTGGTTGTAGTAGATGCTGTCTCTTTTGGATTTCTGGAAATCGATGATTTTCTGAAACTCCGGATCGTTGATGAATGCACGGACTTCAGGGTACGGATTCACCATGTTTTCAAGGGAATTGAGAAGACACTCGTACTCGAAATTCAAGCTTTCATCCTCTGTGCTGAGAAATTTAAGAAGCTCGCCGATTTGCCAAGATTCAGACTGACTGTTCAAATTGACCTTGGAGTCCTTCTTCGTATTAATGTCACGGAGAAGCTCTTCGAATTTCGAAAAGTCCAGCTCGGGAATGAAGTACCAACGCTTACTTCTGCCGAAAAAATGGTAGCTGCACCGCTGCAAGAAATGATCCTCAGAATGCCAATTTTCAGAACTGAAAGTCATGCCAACATTCAAGCGTGAGTTGTACATGTCGTTATTGTTGACGTCATGGGCGGAAAGGGCTCCAAGAAGCGAGTTTGGCAATGTGGGTATATTGTGAAGATTGAACGGAGCCAATGAGTTGCCTATGGTTCTGGAAATGTATGGCTGGCAATTGAGGATGAGCGCTTCACTATGCGATGAAGAGGTGGATGTATCACCATTAAAAGAAGGTCTGGAGGAAGAAACTGGGGTATCAGCTGGCGTAGGAGTTCCACTTTTGCTGCTAGCGGTGGAGATATGTTCCTGGCTTTTCGTGGACTCCGATCCTGAGAAACTCACACTATGCTGGTTGGAGGTGTTGAGCTGCAATTTGTAGTTGGTGAAGTCGTCGCCGATTCGAAGAAAGCCGGAGCTGTTTGCCAAGTGAGGCAAAGAAAAACCGTTTTCGATCTTCAAACCGTCGAGTATATCGTCGACACCTTCATGACACACACGCTGCCAGTAAATGTCCTCCAAAGCTTGAGGAGAAATGGGGCTGGATTCTTCGCTGATCTGGAAACCGGTCAAATGGTTCGGAAGATTATGCACGGGCGTGGACATTTGTATCTCGCTGTTGATACCGAAAAATGCTGGATTCGACGAGATCAAGACCTCCTGGAATTTGCAATCTTTTTCAATGAACTGACGGAGGGAGTATATCGAGGCTGATTTTCCGTTTGGCTCATGTCTCGTGGCATCTTGTAGGTTTGCTGCATTTGTACTGATCCATTTCAAATAGCTGTTGATTTGAGCAGCAGGTGTGAGTGAACAAGAGGTCGTATTTTTGTTCGCTTTAGAGTCGCCTTGAGAAGACCCATTTTCTGAATTTGCCGAAAACACAAGAGGTGGTTTCACGTCGATCAAATGTGGCTGGTTCAAAAGTATGCCTTTGCTTGCCTTGGCCTTCACAGAACGTCTGTACTCTTTTGCAGATCCAAGAAGAAGAGGAGCCAGAGGCTCGACTTTGAGCTTTTTGGCAGGAGGCTCTCCATCGCCAGGACGGTCTGCCAAACCAGCTACTTCAGCGCATCTCTGACCCAAAAATGTCTCCAAAGGATAGAGAATCTTAGCATAGGAAAGCTTGAGTGAGCTGCTGAGACTGCTAGTGATTTTTCCCTTGTAGCCGAGCTCACGGCCAATTTGGGCCCAGAGCTTTCTGTTGATCACCTCGTTGTAACCGCCTCTCATGACAACCAAACGGAAAAGGTCAAAGAGGTCTAGTGGGCGTTTGTCCATCATCGGTAGCTTTTGCAAAAACAAGGGCAGCTTTGTTTTCTGCTTTTCTTCCGCCTTTGGTTCCTTGGGCTGTGAGTCTGGAAGCTCCTCTTTAGGCTGGAGAGTTTCTTCCTTTTGTGAACCTTCCACAGGTGCTTCTTCTTCTGTCTTGACTGCAACCTCTGGAGCCTCTGCTCTCTGCAGAATGTGGAATCCGATAAGCTCGTTGTAGAAACGGAGTCTCGTCAAAATCTCGTTCTCCTTTGGATTGGCGAGAATGCGGTTTGTCTTGAATTGAAAAAGATCGGGATTCACCTGAAAATTCGTTCTGGCCATGGTATTGAAGCTTTCCGGCATGATGATCTTGATGGCACCGTATCTTTGCCCGGTTTCCTTCATCAGCTCTGCAAACAGGATGGGATCGCTCATGGTGGCATGTTCATACTGGAAAATCGGAATCTCCTCTGCACCCTTATGCTGTGGAAGTGGCCTGCTGTGCTCATCCACGCTAATTCTGTGGGGAAGATTGAACAAATTTATCGGATAGCTCTGTTTTGGCCGGCTTTGCGGGCTGCTAAAGGGCAGGTAATTGGCTGTGGAGTTATTGACATGAATGGCCTTGGATTGGCGATGGAAGCTAGGGCTGCGAGAATCGTCCTGGAATCGGGAAAAAAATCTGCTCGTTGCAGGGAACGGCGCTAGATCCTCTGACGACATGGATAGCGCGGGAAGTGGTGGGGAACCAGTTGAAGTGGTGGTTGAAAAGTGTGAAATGGAGTAGTAGGAGGTAAAGTGTTGATATATTGTGCACGTGATACGGGTCACGTGTATAAATTTTGGAAAAGCATCGTAGGCAGTGAAGACAGACAAAAGGGGTTATCGAGGGGCTAATAGGCTGCTTTTCGGTTGTATAGTAAGGTTTGGTGCCGATGGGAGAGGGTTGTCTCCAGCGTGGCATCGCCATGCTTCGCATCCATGAAAAAGAGTGGTGCTCATTATTAAGCCATCTAACTCAGTTTTTTAAAATGTCAAAATAGAAGGAGGGCTTTTCTTTGAAGGCCTGGTCACATTGAGAGATTGATCTACGAGAACGTGCTAAGAAGCGGCTCATTTGGTATGAGTGAGGTGTAGAACGAAGTGAGCATGTAGAGTATCGAACGAAAGAACTCAAACGGCATGATTATAGAAAAACCAGCATCAGATCATGATCCTCTTTTTTTTTTTTCTTCTCTTGTTTCTTTTTGTTTTGCATCAAGGAAACGCTTACTGCATCGAAATGGCTATGGATGATGGCTCCACATTGAGAGAACCAAATCATAAGGCTATCGAACCGTAGACTAATTCATTGACCGTTATCGACATCAATGGGCTTATAGTTGACAAAAATAAACGAAATGAGCAGCGGTTCCTCCCCTCATTTAGGTCATTGAAGGACAGATTTTTCGACTTGACGATACACCGATGATCACACCCACCATCACCAACAATCAACAATTCAACACCTGAAGAGAAGTTTCTTTTCATGATAAAATCAAAAAAGAGAACCAAAGACTCAAAAGTGAAAATTTTCAAAACCACCCGCTGATCACCCTGCCGCCCCAGATCTCAGACGAGGCCTCGAACAATACTCATTACCGTAGCGAGCCAGACAATGGCACCGCCGTTCAGGGACAATTCCGTGATCGGGTGGCTCAAATCATCAAAATTTACTCAAGCCTTTACACCCCAAACCCGTCAAATTATCCATTCTCTCGCTACAATGAAGAAGCACCAGCCAATAACGAAGAAACGGAGAATTCAGTGCCCACGGAGAAAAGCAGCAACCGTCTGGCTCATTGTCAAAAGGTCTTCATACACAGAAGCTCTTCATACACAGAAGCTCTTCATACACAAAAGCTCTTCATACCTGAAATCCCCAAAAAGCTAAATCCTCTATCCCCCTATAGAACTAAATCCGAAAAGCTCACCTCCACCCGTCAAAACGGTGCCATCCGGTCGCTCCAAACCAGCATTGTCATTCTACGACAAAACGCCTTGCGACTACAAACCACACATTTCTTGGCTCTTCGCTACTCGTAAATCGGCGTCGTCGTGATCCTGAAACACCCATGTGTTTCATCACCGAGGATCACCAAAATCACATTATTGAGCAATTTCCCATTACGTCGTTTCATTGCCCTATAGGTACGGAGGAACTCCCCATGGAGTCAGGCGACGCAGGTGCTGAGACAATTTGACGTTTGAAACAGGGTCTTGGCAGCCCAATAGGGCACCACCAAATCCAGCGTTCCACCTTATTTTACAGTAGGTCGGGTGAGATTTCCCCGGGAGGATTTAGATCCCACATACGCTAAAAATAATCTCGTAGGTGGTCTGCCTGAAAAAGCAGCAATCCCGTTCAGATGGCCCCATTGTCCTATATTGCACTCAAAGGCGCTTTCGGTGATAACTTTGAGGAGTTAGTTGCTGGTTTGCATTATGGTACTACTGATTGGCCCACTGGCGGCATGGCTCGAGCGGCGCTGGTGCAGGTGCCGAGGAGGGGTCGTTTAGAGGCGTGGGGGAGCGGGTTAGGTTATTTGGGGGATCTGCTCTAATTGCCCCTCCTCCACTCTAGGGTCCCCCAAACTTCAACGTAGTAGTGAGACGACATTTCCAGGCACTGTGGCTGCTGGCGGTGGTCGGACGAGGTAGTTGACGGGGCGGGCGCAAAAGGAGGCTGCTGCACGTCGGCCCCTATTGGGAAATGCCCAAAGTGGAATGTTTCAACGCATGGCGCCGACGCGCGGACTGCATACAGCGCCGACGACAGAAAACCGATGCGCGACCGAAGCCAGCGTGACAGCCCCCCTCTCGCTGGTTGAGCCCTGTTTTAGAGGCATTTTTGAGGCTGTTTCTACAGATTCGCTTGGTATTAGAAATGTAAATTAAAACCCTGAAACCGATGTTTCGAAAATAATGAGGCGCTCAAGAGCACCGAATATAAAGAATGTGGTATGTTATTAAAATAAATCCAACATGCTAGGCAGCTTAGAACAAAGCAGCGGCAACGGCAGCGACACCGGCAACGGCACCAGCAACGTTCTTGGCAGCAGCACCCTCGTAAGAGGAGACAGCGGCGGTGGTGGTTGGAGCTGGGGTGGACTCACCGGCAACGGTGGATGGCTTGTGCTCGCACTCCTCACATGGAATGGTCTCGGTGGTGGTGGACCACTCAGTGGTGTAGGTGGTTGGGACAACACATGGCTCAGTGACAGTCAAGGTGGTGGCGGAAGAGACGGTGATCTCAGATGGGGCGCACTTGTCCTCCTCACACTTGGTGATGGTGACGACGGTGGACTCTGGGCAGTAGGTGGTGTAGCCAGTCACGGTAACGTCAGTGGTGATGGTGGTGGCGTTAGAGTAAGCGGCGGAAGCGGAAGCAGCGAGGGCAGCGACGGTGGCGACGGTAGAGAATTGCATAGCGAGTGACGAGTTTGTATGTGAAAGAAAAAAAAAAGCAGACGAGTGGTGGGCGGGAATGGCTGTATTTATAGTTGGGCGGCCGAGGCCGTGGGGGCTTTGGCGTGAATTGTCCTGCAGGCAGGCGTGCAGGTTGTCGCTGAGCACCTAACTAAACAACATCCGCGCGTGTGCAGGACGGCCGCTGGCGTTCACATACGAGGCGGCGGCTAAAAATAACCGCCACCATGGGGCCTTGAATTCCGGTCTGGCAAGAACGGCTGTTTTTTATGGTTGTTTAAAATGCCTTTGGTGTACGGATTTTAGGCCATCCGGCCTGTCACGAGCCCAGGGTGACGGCCGCTGTCAAGTTATTGTCCCTGATTCGCTGCTTTGTCGGCTGTTGTTTGGATTTCTTGGACGGTGCCAAAGAGGCGCGGCCGCCCGAAACAGCAAACCTCAAACAGGCGAAAAACAAGCAAACCGCGATGAAACAAAAAAAAAAAAAAACCCAACCTGCCGCTTCAAGCAAGAGAACACTACGGCAGGAGATTCTCAGGATATTTTAATCCCCGTCCGCAGAAATCCCCGTATGGGCGTGGCGCCAGGCCTCAGGGTCCGACGCGGATGGCTGCAAACCCAAATAAGCTCAGGCCCAGGGGGAAGATTTTTGGCTTCTTTCCTTTTTTACTTTTGCTTTTGATTTTGATTTTGCTTTTTTACTTTTGTCATTAAAACCACTTTTTTTTTTTGCCACTTTTCTTCTCCCTCTTTTTCCACCGTTTTATTGCTGCTGGTTATGTGCCGCGGCGGTTTCCTCACTGAGTAGGCCGCCTGCTGGATCGGTGCTGGTTTGTTTAGCCGCCCAGCTTGTTTACCTAGCAGATCAGCCAAGCCGCTGTGGAAAAGGCAACCGCCGACTTGCAGCCGTTCTGGAAGAAGATAAGAGAAGGGGAATAAAGAAAAGAATTGAAAGAAAAAGAATTTAAGAATAAAAAGAAGAAGAATGACCAATTGAGGAATGGAAAAGAATGGATTCAATCAGTTTGTTGTCGAGGTTAATGGCGTTGTGCCATGTGGATGGGTGGGGGACCGTGGCTCGCTCCGTAAAGCTTAAACACGGGCATCGACGGACAATGCCATGGCGTGTTTCCAAACAAATAGTTAAATTTCTGAGACTCGTTCTTTTTTTTTTCGAATCTAAAAAATATCGCCTCCCCGTCCGGCCGTACCGTGACTCACCTGCTTACTGTCACCGAGGTCCGTCACGGTCCATCACCTTATGCCAATTGTGAAACATCCGGCCCTGCCATGCCTCCACAAAAGATGCTTCCTTGTTTTCAAATGCCTCCTTGTATACTAAGGCTTCCTTGCTTTCTCCTCGTTTTCAAATTTTCCTTGTATTCATCAAAACCAATCGCCTGCTTGCACCCTGCTTAGACCAACCACAAGCCTCATTCCCCAGCATTCCTCTGGGTATGGCTTACCAAAAAGCCCGGAAAAGCCCAGGGCTTACCGAGTATCCCCCCGCTGGTACTTGCCGTTTTCGGAGCTCCATTTTTTCCGGCCTGCCTCGCAAGGTCAAATTACTAACAACTTTAGCCCCCGGTGCATCGAAACACAAAATCTCTCACAGCAGTGTGCCTCGCTAGAAGCCATCCAGTGGACCGTAGCAAGCCTGGTTTTGTGGCCGCCACAGACCTATTGCCCAATCCAGTAATAATGTTCCCGATGGTGGCTGCAAAATTGCATTTGCAAACCGCCTGCATTGCCTGAATTCCATGCCTGGTATTCTGCCACTGCTATCTGCCACTGCTATTCTTATCTCCCTGTGTTCATGAATTCCCCTGTTTCCATGTATTCCCCTGTTTCCCTTCTTCACGAACACCACTTTGCCTTTCATGAAACCCTATTTCACATCTCCTCGGTTAACGCTAAGCCATGTAGCAAGGCTCGTCAAAAAACCCTGCCTGGCAGAAGCCTTCCAACGTAGCAATAGATCGTTTTAGCCGCCGAGGTCCGTAGCACATGAGACACTGCCGCTTTGGTGCGAGGAGGTAATTAGGGGTCTTGGTCCTTTGAGACAGGCGCTGTCGTTTCGGTGATGTCAGTTTGAAAAAGCGTCAGCGCCGTTGCATCCGTTTGTGAATGTTGCTATAACGCCTGCCAAGGCAGATTGTCGTTGACGGTGAAGTCCGTATTTTTGGGGAAATCAAGGGGCCATGTTTTCAGGTATTTTTGGAAATCATTAAGGAGCCGTAATTAGAGTGTATTTTTGGAATTAAGGAGCGATCTACCCCTTCATTAATTGCATCTCCGCTTGGGTTGACATGAAGAGCATGGACAACCACGGGATCGACATTATTAGGTAAAACGTGCCTGGGAATTGACAGGCTGCTGGATCAAAGCTTATTCTCCATTGTGCTGGATCGCCGCTAAGGTAAGGTTAGAATGCTGATCGAACTTATTATTCCCTTCGAGGTAAGCAGATTACGTGCCTTGAGACAGCTCGTATCTTCGGAATGTGCCTTATTTTAGATGATCTGCTGGCGCAATTGCTGGTGATTCGGCCCTTCCGTTGATCAGGGGTTGGTTGATAAGTGATTTTCCACTTTGATATCCCTTATGTTTGAGTTAAGCAGGGGTCTCTTTCTCCATGATCTCTATTCCAAGGTATCCTTTGGAGGTTTAAGAACAACATTATTTAGGATTCAAGGGTTCCAGAGTCCACTGTGCTACTAAGATTATTTCTTTAAAAGAATGCACTTTTTAGTTTTTTTTCATTTTGCTCTCCTGAATGTTAATTTAAGCAGGGGTATTCGATGGTTCTCATTCTCCAAGATCTCTATAATCCCAAGTCATCCCCTGGTGCTTCAAGAACATGATTATTTGGCCTTCAAGAGTTTTAGAATCCAATCTGTACTACAAATATCATGTATTACAAGAATTCACTCCTGGTCCTGAAATTGGAATCCTCATTGGGTGCCCTAATACTACCCTCAGTCTATAGCACCCTCAGTCTTATAGTACCCTCAGTAGCACCACACCCAAAACACTCAGAAAACTTCAAAATACTCTCTTTCGTTATGTCTTTAAACCCAATAATTAAAAAAACATTAATCAACGCGTTGGTTCACCTCCATCAAACAGCATTGCGTGCCCTGGACTCAGTGAAGATTTCGCAGCCATATCAAAACATCTACAACTCCTACTCAATCCACAAATCCGGTCCCTCCACTCCCACCTGACCGTGCCCGCCTACCGAAAAAAGGCTACACGTGACATTCACCTCATCATCCACAACCCTACCAAATTCGTGCTTTTTCGAATCCCTCGTTTGCTTATTCTCCACCCCCACATCACCAATCCATGAAACCATGGACAAGCCGTTTCAGGGCCGCACGTTCTGCTGCACGGGGCTCCACGGCCACGAAAGGCACGACATGGCAGACAAGATCCTAGCGTTGGGCGGAACCCACTACACGGATTTGATGAGTCTGGTCAAGTACCTCATTGTGGGTAACAGAAACACCGAAAAGTATAAATACCTGATCAAGTACCGGCACGACGTGGTCTTTCTTCCGCAGGAAGCTATAACAAGAATCCACCAGCGATGGACCGCAGGCGACGATACGGGGCTAGAACCGGAAAGCTATCTGATGGCTGTTTTCGACCGTTTTACCGTATGTGTGGCTAGAATCGATAGACCGCCTCCGGGCGTTGTTCTGAGGCTTTTTGGCGAGAAGTTCCGGACGCCCCCGGACGGAGCTGTGCTGGAACCGCTAGCTGACGCTTTTCTGGCCGACGAAGTGCTGAATTCGATGGAGAAGAAAGGTGCACAAGTGAGTACTACGCTAACGCCGTCTTGCGACGTTGTGGTCAGTACAGAGGCGTCGGGGAAGAGGTACACCATGGCCAAGCAGTGGGGCATCCCTGTGGTGCACCCGCTCTGGGTTTACGACTCTGTTCTACGAGGAGCCGCTCTAGATCTTGATGATTACGTTCTTACAAGTGACGGAAGCAACTTGTACAATAGCGGCAGTTTTGTCTGGAAAAAGCTATATTCTGGAAGAGCCGAGCCCGTGGAAAAGGCCGAGCCTGAAAGGGCGCCTTTGAAGAAGAGCCTGGATGTGTGGAGCTCGATTATGAGCTCTCGTAACAAATCGGCCAGAGTGATCAAAGGCTCGCTCTGGGAGGAACCGTCCGAGGAAGAAACGGCCAAATCTGTGGCACCAGCGTCTCCCGAGAGAAAGAGCTCACTTTTCAGCGGATTCAAGTTTCTCCCGGTCGGTTTCTCTATACCCCAACAGAAGGTGCTTCGAGAAGTCGTGGAATCTCATAGTGGAGAGGTTGCCGAGCTGGCTACCGACGACACTATCTCGCATATTGTGCTTCTTGTGAAAAGCGGTCCTCAAGCTAGTCTCATGCTTCTGGTGCTCCCGAGCAACATGAAGCGTCGCATAAACAGCAAAGAAGTCCATGTTGTCACCGACTGGTTCATTGAGCGGTCCATTTTCTACAAGGAGGTCCGCCACGACTCGTGGTGTAAACCTTTGCAAGGGCTCGTCCCGCTGGCCAAAAAGTTCAAGGTTTGTATAACAGGTTTCACTGGAGTGGAACTTTTGCATATTGAAAAACTCGTGGAGTACCTCAACCTCGAGTTCTGTCAAACTCTCGCCTCCAAGCGAGATTTGCTCATTGTCAACATTAATTTATTCAAGGACGGTCTTCAGGAAAAGAGTCCGTCGCTTTTCAAATACAAGTACAAAGACGTGCTTGACTGCCCCATCTATACCAGTGGCGATCACCTGTCGTCCGTGTCGGTTATGTCGTCGCAAAACAAAATGAATGCTGCTAAAAAGTGGAACATTCCAATTGTTTCCGTTGCTTATTTATGGGAGATGATTCAGCGACTGGCTGGTAAGGCCAATCTTCAAATGCCTGATATATTCGATCTCACCTGGTGCATCTACGCCCCACGCAGCATGGCCAAACCCACCACGCTTCTTGACTATGTGAGA